TACATTTTCCCTTTTCTGCTTTTAGTTTTGTCAATTCATGTGCTAATATTAATTGTTTCCTTTTGCTTGTTTTGGGTTTGTTTTACTTTTTCTGTCTTTTTCTCTGTTGTTTTCAGGTTTGCTGATCAAGTTTTATAGTCTTTTATAGTTCTGTGAGCCCATCTAGTATATTTTCATTTCAAGAACAGTATTTTTCAACTCTAGGTTTTCCATTTTGTCATTTAAAAAATTGTGCTAGATGTGGTGGCCTACACTTGTATTCCCAGATAAAAGGCAGGAGGATCACAAGTTCAAGGTCAGCCTGGCAACTTAGTGAGACCCTGTCTCAAACAACAAAAAGGGCTGCAGTTGTGGCTCAGTGGTAGAGTATTTACCTAGCTTGTGCAGGGCCCTGCGTTTAGTTCCTAGAATCACAGAAAAATCCACTTTCCCCTGAGTCTTTGTCTGAAAATCCTTATGACTATTATCCTTTAAGTCCGTCGGTGTCTTTAATTCACTGCTTTATCATTTTGTGTGGTAATTACGACATGTCTGTTGCCTGTAGATCTTTTCCTATTGGATTGCCTCCCCAGAGCATGGGTTTCATCTTCCTGTGTTTCTGTAAGTCCTTCAATTTTTTGATTGTGCTAAACCGCCCCAATAATCCATTTTGGGGATGTGGGTTTTGCTATATCCTTTGAAGAATTTTCCCATTTATTTTCCCAGGAAGTTAAATTTCTGCTGCTCACCTTGTACTGGGGTGTACTGGGAATATGGTTTGAGAGGGACTGGTCTGTTTCAGTTTCATCCTCAGTCTTGGAGCAAATCCTTGCCCTGGGACATAATATTTATTCCTAAACCGTGGTCCCTGCTTTTACTGAAAAGCTTAAAATGAGTACCAAACCCTTTTAATTTGACAGGATTCAAGTGAAAAACTGCTCTGTGATGGGCAGTAGCTGGAATCTCTGTCCGGCTTTGAAGTCCCCTACACTCATGTAGGGATTCATATATTACTTTATGATATACACATTTATTAAATAGAAATGTGTCTATGAAATACCTTTATATTCATGTATAGTTATAAAATACATATGAAGTAATATATAAGTGTTAGGGATTCATATATATGAAAAACTAATATATATGTATCAGTTCAGTGCTGGGGATTGAACCTAGGGCCTGGTGCATGCTAGGCAAATGATCTACCCCTAAGCTATATCCCCCAGCCTTATTTATGGTTTTTTTTTTGGTACCAGGGATCAAACTCACAACCTTGTGCTTGCCAGGCAGGCGCTTATTGCCACTGAGCTAAATCCCTGGCACTCATATTTATGGTATTTTCATGTATTGGTATTTAATGCATTGATGGAAAAATATTACTTATATTAGAAAATTGCATTCACCCTTACCCTACCCTATTTAAAGGAGCATCAAAATCATCAAAAGATGACATATCTTTTCCTGGTATCATTTCCTTTCCTGCTCCCAGAAGTAATTGCAACCCTAGATTTTATGCTTTGAGTTATCATTTATATTAAATTATATGCTCTTTTAAAATTTTCCAGTAGCCATTTGGGTGTCTCCTTGACTATGAATGTTCACAGTTGCTGAGAGTGTTCTTATGTGTCTCTTGACCTTGTAAAAAGTTTTTCCCAAGTGCATTCCTTAGGTGGAATTCATAGGTCATAGAAAATGTATATCTTCAATGTTATAAGTATTATATACTTGAGTGATTGTTCCAAATCACGATACTTCAGAGGGCTTATTAGTACTGAATGACTTTTTGTTTTTTTGAAACAGAGTCTCACTATAGTTTGGGTTGGTTCTGAACTCTTATGTAGTCCAGGCTACCAGGCTGGGCTGGAGCAAACTCATGGTGATTCTCCTGCCTCAGCCTCCTTAGTGTTGGGATTACAAATGTGCACCACCATTTCCAACTGAATGACTTTTTAAAAGTATAGGATTCTGGGGGCTGGGGATTTAGCTCAGCGGCATAAGTGCCTGCCTTGCAAGCAGGCAGTCGTGAGTTCGATCCCTGGTACCGGAAAAAAAGACCAAAAAGAAACTTGAAAAAAAAAAAGTATAGGATTCTAATGTAATTAATCATCAGAAAACTTGTTAGGTCATAAAAAATACATGGAAAATCTTTGAGGATTTGGTGGCACATGCCTGCAATCCCAGTCCTCCGAGAAGTTGAGGCAGGAGGACCATAAATTCAAATCTTTCCTTTTCAGGAAAGAAGTAATACCTGTAGTATACCTGTGGTATTTTTATCAACCAGGTATGATGAAAACTTTGCAAAAAGAATATGCTAATATTTTTGAGTTGGGTGTGGTGGCTGGCATATACCTGTAATTCCGGTGCTTGGGAAGCTGAGACAGGAGGATTATCTGGAGTTGGAGGACAGTTTGGGCTACATAATGAGTTCAAGTCCAGCCTGAACTATATCATGAGACCCTGTCTCAAAAAGCAAAGCAAAACAAAACAAAAAGCTAATATTTGTATTATGACTTCATTGTTCTGCTTGTATTTGGTTTGTGTGAGCTGTTCAACATCATTCCATTCAGTCCAACAGTGAAGTACACTTTAATCTGTTTACTCAGTTATGCCTGGCTAGCAAGATCATGCCCTCACTGTTACACAATGTATGGTGGCTCACTAGTGTCTTCTGGCTGTCTTTTTAAAAAATGTGTCATGAACAGTGTCATCTACACTACCATCTGCTGTCCAAAAGTATTAGTACAGGTGGGAGAGTGCAGTGTGTGAGGGCCCTGATAGATTTGACAGATTTGGAACTTGAGAGCCCCTAGAGTGTGTTCAAGGTTTTGTCTGAGGTCTGTTTAGGAATGAAACTCATGAAATACGAATAATAATTAAAAGTGACATGTGAATTCTAGCTTGTAGTCATTCACATTTATTATACACTTGAGTTTCTTTTCCACTTTAAATAAATTCTCATTTACCATTTAGATACAAATATTTGTTTTTTAAATTTTGTATTATTTTGAAGGTAGTAAAATCAACAGAACAAGATGGAACAAAGCCAATTGAAACAGTGTAGTGAAATTGATACAGAACTTCACAGCAGGTTACCGGGATAAAAATAATAGGTACCACAGTATATTTTATTATCTTCAAAATAGTTGCTCTTTCAATCAGGTATAGCAAAATAAAATGAAATACAAACCATTATAGAACTTGTCAAAACAGAAAATGGAATAAAGCAATATCATTAATCAGAATAAATATTTGCCTTCAAAGAGATGGTAGAAGGAAATCCCCCTTATTTGCTATATTGCATATGGTCAACCTTCCAATAGATGCTCAGATCTCTTGCTCCCATTTGCTAACAGGGCAGGGGGTGGTGGTGGGGGAATGTTTGATTCTCAGCCTATGTGCTGGTAGGCTCACTACGGCTTAGCAGTGAAGTGAGCTGGTTGCTTGGTTTCCCAGTGCCCTAAGTTCCAGCATGACGTGGATCTCAGGAGTCATTGGTGGTTCTCCTCCTGGAGCAGCTGCAGCCTGCCACACCTTAGCCACTTACCAAACTTACCAAGGAGGTGAGCTGGTTGCTTGGTTCCCCAGCTGAGATACAAATATTTGATGTTCAACAAAAATCTTTTTTTTTGAGACAGGATCTCCCTTTGTAGTCCAGTTTGGCCCTCAAACTCATGGAGATAACCCTGCCTTGGCTTCCTGAGTGCAGTGATTGCATGCCTGTGGCACCACGCCTGACTCTTAATAAACATCATATATCCTTTACTTATTTTGAAATTACTACATAAGGGGCTGGGGATTTAGTTCAGCGGCACAAGCACCTGCCTTGCAAGCAGGCAGTCGTGAGTTTGATCGCTGGTACCGATAAAAAAGGAAAAAGCCAAAAAAAAAAAAGAAATTACTACATAATACATGCAGGTACTTGACTGATTTATTTCAGACCTCCCCCTGCCACTGATAACTGAGTAAGACTTTTACCTCATTTCTAAACTCCATGTGGTGTTGGCGGGTAGAAATAGCTTGGTGGTAGAACACCTACTAGTGTGCTTGAGACCCTGAGTTAGGTTCTCAGCACCAAAACCAAATTGAAGCAAACACATTAGACTTCTCCATCTCCATCCTTTGTCAGAACCATTTCCTGGAGAACCAGAAGAAACTAAACGGGTGTGTGTCCCAGGTCTGCAGCCATTTCTGCAGTAAACAGTTATGAGAATGCAGAACTGTAAAGGTACATTGGGTCAGAGGGCACCAGGACTCTTGCAATGGACAAACTCACCTTTCACTGGATTCAAGAATTAAAGACAGAGCTCTGTGATCCAGTGGGTGACCCAGTAGGTGACCCCGTGGGTGGCCCTGACTCTTGCATCCTCTCCCCCATTGATCAGGTTACAATTTACACAGAGCCTGGGGCCCAGAGTGTCTGGGCTGATCTGTTTGGGGTGAGGGGCGCCACCTCGCTTAGCGGCAGCCAGCAGTGGCCAAAGGTAAATTGTTTAGGGCCACAGTCCCTGTTCCTTGTAGTCAACATAAAAGGAGGTGGGCAAGTGACAGCTGGAAGAGAAAAGGAGAGATAGAGATGGATGGGGGAAGAGAGGGAGAGCTAGAGGGAGAGAGAAGGAGGTGGTGGAGAAAAAGGTTCAGTCTTTTGGACATTGTGCAATTTTGCAAAGTGTGCCCAACCCCCCCTGAGCACTGAACCCGGGGTCTGGAGCGCGACACCCAGGCATCTGCCGCCGAGGCACGTGCCCAGCCCTGTGAGTAGGTTTTGAAATTCTCCTGGGACCTGTGTTCTTACAAGAGTGCGATGCCAAAGGTGGAGTTCAGAAAAGGGCCCCAAGGTACTTGCTTGATTGCAAAATCAATGAGCAGAGGTCCCCAGCTTCTCCCACCCCATCTCCCGGGGGTGCGGCAGTGGGCGTGGCTCTCGGAGGTCGGGGAGCGCTCGGCCCCGCCCCCTCTGCCGAGAGGAGGCGCCCGAGGAGGCGCCCACTGTGCGGCCCGCGAGGCGGAGGCGGAGGAGGGCGCGGGGCCGTCCCGGGGCGGGGCCCAGGCTTCCTCCAGGCCGGCAGTGCAGAGCTGAGGCCGGTGTCTGCAGTTCAGCAGAGCACCTGCAAAGCTGCTCGGAAAGCGCCCCAGGGATCCCCAGATCTCACCCGAGCGCCGGGCGAGGGCTGCAGCACCGGCCCGGGTCCAAGTCGCCCGCTCCAGCTCCGTCCGCCTCGGCCCGTGCCGCGGGGAAGTCGCAGCCGTGGGCCACGGTGAGTCACGGCCACTCGCGTCCCGGGCGCCCACCCGCTCGCTCGCCTGGCCTTTGCCCGGACCTCCCAGCTGCAACGCCCGTTGGTGCCGCCTGGCTGGATTGGTAGCTTCCCTAGGACCTCGAGGCTTTCTTCCCTTTAGTTGAGGTTTGAAGGGCTTCGCTGCTTTTCTGCCTCCGGGCAGGTTAGCAAACAGCATGAATGAATGATGCAATATCGCCGGGGGAGCCGTCAGTACCAGAGCAGGAGCCAGGGTTTGACTTTGTCATCTTCCCCGGAAGAAGTGAAACTTTGAACAGACACCTGATGATGTGCTGCTGCGGAGATGGCTTCCCCAGGAACCAAGTCAGCTCTCCATTCATTTTTGTGCTGTTTTTTCTTTGTATGCGATTTGCATATTATAGTTAGTTACACTTCGAATGTCTGGTAACTAGAATAGTTGTGAGGGTAAGGGAAGAAAATAAATTCCATGATTTCTTTGTTTTAGTACAATTTCTGGAGAGGTTTTCAGTGTGGTAAGGAGGAGGAGGCTGTCAGTTTCATAATAGTGAAATGAAACTAGTTAGGACTTGAACCGTTTTTAAAGAATCTGACGCAGGCCTAATTACTTTTTTCCTTCCTTCCAGTACTGGGAATTGAACCGTAGCTCATAAACTGAACTATGTTCTCAATCCTTTTTCATTTTTGATTTGGAGACCGGGTCACATCAAATTACAAAATTGCTAAGGCTGGGCTTGGACTTGTGGTCGTGCTCCTACCTCATAAACCAGTGGTTATTAATGTATAATTTATTGCAATAAGATGCACCTGGTTTTTAATTTTGGAGCCAAATCCATCTTTGTTCTTTTTCTTTTCTGTGCCTGTTGAGTTTCATTAGGAAATTTTTTGCCTACCCAAAGGTTGTTGAATTAGCTGTGTGTTGCTTTATTAACAGATAATCCTCAGTTTTAGCAGCTGAGAACAAAATATACTTATTTTCCTATAGCTTCTGGGTGTCAGAACCCTGGGAGCCACTCACCTGGGTGGAGAAGTCTCCGTTGGTGGAGGCCGACTCATCTCAGGGCTTGGAGGACAGATGGCTTCCTGGCCCAGTTCTGTGGTTGTTGGCCCAATGCAGTTCCCTGAGGACTGCTGGACTCAGGACCCCAGTTCCCTGCAGGCTTGGCTGGGAGCCCTTAGTGTCTGGTAGTTTTGGTTGTGGACTTTTCCACAGGCCAACTCATACCATGGTGGTTGCAGTCCTTCAGCAAAGACGATGAACTGACTAGTTAGCCCAGGCTACAATCCAGCCTGGGCCTGAGCCATACTCCTGCCTCAGCCTCCCAACTGCTGGGATTACTGTCCTTTTTTTTTTTAAACAGTACAGGGATTGAATCCAGGGCCTCATCCCATGCATGAGGTGCTCTGGCATGGAGCCACATCCTCGATTCTTTTTAAAATTTGTTTTCTTGGGGCTGGGGATTTAGCTCAGTGGCATAAGCGCCTGCCTTGCAAGTGTGTGGTCTTGAGTTCGATCCCTGGTACCGGTAAAAATGAAAAAGACAAAAAAAAAAAAAAAGACCTTATCTCAAAAGAAAAACAAATTTCACACCTGACTTTTAAAAAAATAATTATACATTGAAAGAAGGTTAAAGAGAAATACACAGGGAGCTCTGTGCCTTTGAAGGGGGAAGCTCCTGTCTCTGATGGCAACACACCAGGGGATGCACGCTGAGCAGCCCACGCTCTTTATTCAGATGTCAGAGACACACACACTCTTTTGTGCCATGGTCTAATTTCCTAATTTCAGAAGGGACAGCCTACATGGGGAGTCACTACCCTTGCCAGTGCTGAAGAGGTGGCGATCACAGAAGATGCAGTGGGAACCTTTTTAGAAGCTGCTAACCACATTCAGGAATTTTTTCCCTTTTATTTTTGGTACCTGGGATTGAACTCGCGACCTTGTATTGCCAGGCAGGCGCTTTGCCGCTGAGCTATAGTGCCAGCTCTGTTTCATATATATTTTTTGAGACCATGTAGCCCAGGCTCAGCTCGAACTCACGGTGATCCTCTTGCCTCAGTCTCCCGAGTGCTGGGGGTCACAGGCGTACACCACCACACCCAGCTCCCTTGTGGTTTAAAAGTTTCATAGTTTGAGCTTTTGTGTTTAGGACTGTGGTTCATTTCAAGTTTGTTTTTGGTTTTGGACCATGCAGGTCAGAGAACAACATACATTACAAAATTTCTCTATTTTATTACACTGCCAGGTAGAATTTCTATATAGTAATGACCACAGCCCTGTCATTTTCATGTTGGTCAAACAAAACAGCAAGGACTTTTAAAATTTTCACATGATTTAATACATGCTCAATTAAAAAAAGTCAAACAGCAATCAGTATATGTCTTCCAGATTAGAAGAGAAATAGGGTAGGTCTTTGTACCTAAACTGTTCTTTTGGATGTAAACAGCATCAAAGGAGAAAGTAAACTATCTTAAAGAGTAAATTAGCTGATAGTGCTGCACAGCTGTAATCCTAGCACTTTGGGAGGCTGAGGCAGAAGGATCCCAAATTCAAGCCCAGCCTGGGCAACTTAGTGAGACCCTATCTCAAAATAAACATTAAAAAAGAGCTGGGTGTGTAGCTCAGTGCAAAGGCCCTGGCTTCAATTCCAGTACCAAGGGGTGGGGGTTAAACTGACAATAATTTCTTTTGTTGCCTCGCTGGTGTGGACAGTAAGAGGGCTCTCTCTGAGGACAGGAACTTCTGGGGACGCTGAGGCTGCACCTCATGGGGAGGTGGGGATAAGGAACTGGGAAAAAGCCACCCATGCTTGGCAGGGTGGGGAGAAAAGCACCTGACTTGCACCCTGCATCTGGGCTTTGGGTACACCTTGTATTCACTCACGTGGAGAGGTACAGTCCAGCCCCGTGCTCCAAGTTCATGGCCCTTGTGCTCTTCGGACTGTTTTTGGACCTCCTGAATTCTTCCATTACTGTAAGGAGCCATTCTGGCTGTCTTCTCTTTTGATCTCCATTTGCTTTTTTCTGGCTTCCTGTTCTTAACTATTTTTAAAAATTTTATGCTGGGGGGGCCAGGGATTTAGCTCAGCAGCATAAGCGCCTGGCTTGCAAACCCACAGTTGTGAGTTCTATCCCTGGTACCAAAAAAATTTTTTACGCTGGATGTGGTGGTGCACGCTCATAATCCTAGCACCCTGGAGGCTGAGACAGGAGGATCGTTGCAAGTTTGAGACCAGTCTGGGCTACAAAGTGAGCTCAAGGCCAGCCTGAACTACATAGTGGGACCTGGACTCAAAAACACACAAAAAATTTTTTGTTCCCTCTTTCTGAGATTTGGCATCTTTATCCACTTCAATGAACTTTGCAGTTTTTTATTTTTGTTTTTGTCTCTTTCTGTACTGGGGATCAAACCCCGGGATTCTCTATGACTGAGCTACACCCCTGTTCCTCTTTAATTTTTGAGATAGGACCTCACTAAGTTGCTGAGACCGGTCTCCATCTTATGCCTTTGCTGCCTCAGCCTCCCAGGTAGCTGGGATTCCAGGCACGGCTCATCACTTGCTCTGTATTTTCAGTTTTACTGATGAGAATTATAATTCAAAGTTGTTGGCTATTTTCTTATTGCTGGGGAAGCAGAATACTTTTCTGACTCTTCCTCGAATGCTCTTTGTTTCCTCCATTTATTTTCTACTGCTGGGGACAAAATCCCGGCCTTCCACCTGCTAGAGAACGTGTCCCCACTGAGCTTCACGACAGCCTTTTCCCTCATTTTGCACACAGCAGAGACCACTTTGATGGCTCTGTAAGGTACCCAGCTTTGCTTCTGTGCCTGTTTGCCTCATATTTTCCCAATGGGTGCTGTTTCTTGAGGCTTCTGCAGGATCGAAGTCAGAGAAGTGTTTCTGGGGGAAGCACCATCAGAGATCTTTGCATCAGAACCATTTTCATAGCGGTTCTCTGAGGAGGGAAAGCGATCTCTGAGGAGGGAAAGGGACCCAGATCCTTGTGCTGTGTCTGGACCTTAACGTTCATCTATCTCCTCGTCCTTTCTTTCTATGCTCTTGCCTTAAAGGAAGCAGTAGTTACAGCTGTGTGCAGTGTCTCTTTCCCTCAGCAAGCGAGCAGGAAGGTAAGAGCATTGTCTTCTAGGAATCCAGCACTGGAGAACTGTGAATCTTTGATGTTTTTGTGTGTTTGGTGATCTATCAGTTAGCAGTTTACTGTTCCCTTGAGTTTAAAAACTTAGTGTAATAATCCCAGCACATGGGAGTCTAAGACAAGAGAATAGCCATTAGTTTGAGGCCAGCCTGGGCTGCACAGTGAGACCTTGTCTCAAACACAAAACATTGCTGGAAGCTGTGATGTACACCTCAGCTTGCCTAAATAGTGAGTTTTTTTTTTTTTTTTTTGGTACCAAGAGAGTTGAATTCATGACCTCACACACTTGCCAGGCAGGTGTTTGTGCCACTGAGCTAAATCCTCAGCCCTAAATAGTGGTTTCTTCAATCATAAACTGTAGCATAAGTGCAGAGGGAGTCCAGTCTTGCATGCAGGAGGCTGTAATTCCGATTCAGAAACTTCTAGGGTTTATTGTGTACTGTTGGGCTGGGGCCGATAGACTTGGTTCTGCTACCAAAGCCCGGTAAACTTTGTTCTCTGTTGCGCATCCACCCGGAAACTGTGGTGTTTGTTATCTGTTCTTGTACAGACACAGGGAAGAAGTCAGTCCTAACAGACAGTAAAGAAGTTAGTATGGCCTTGGGTGTCTTTTCTAAGATACTAGATGAAAAATTTGGGAGAAATTTTGTATAGGCAAGGAGATCTTTTTTTAACCTTTTATCCAAAATCAGACTTTATTGCTTCCTGGCCTTTTTGGGTAAGATCAAGTGCAAAGTCGGACCTCCTTTCCTTCCGGCTGGTCCAGAAGGAAAACCTGGGTTTTTTGTTTTGTTTTGTTTTGTTTGAGACAGGGTCTCACTGTGTAGTTCAGCCTGCCCTGGACTCACTATGTGGCCCAGACTGGCATCAAATTTACAGTGATCTTCCTGCCTCAACTTCCCAAGTGCTGGGATTACAGGCCAGTGCCACCATGCCTGGCTCAGAAAACCTGTTTTTGTACTTTGGATCTAGGGATAAGAAATGCTTGTCAGCATGGTTTCTTTTCTTCTTTTAATCTGTTGGACCAGCTGGGAGTCAGCGAGTCAGAGTCCTGCTCCCAGTCGCAGGGGCCAACGCTGAGGCCCGGCCTGTGTCTGACCCTCCCACCGGCGTTTGCCCACCCCCAGGCCTGTCCTTTCCTCCCACAAAGAGCCAGATGGGAAGGATCCAGAGTCCGCTCCCGGGGTGATTTTTGTGTGACAGTCTAATGTACACAGCCCGGTCTAAGCAACTGTACCTACTTAGCAGACACCCCCTCCCTGAGCATTTCAAATATGTGTGAGTTAAAGAGTCAGGGCTGCGGGAGACAGAACCGAGGGACCGGAAGCCAGCAAGGAGGCAGCGTTTTCAAGAGCAGTTCCCGGTCTTACAGTTCTGTTTGGGGTCCTGGAGAGACTTGCCAGAAACTCGGTGTAAGCCTTGCCCAAGCAGCCCATTTCTGTCCATCTTCCGGACCACCCTGCAACCCCGGAGGCGGTGTTCACCTTTCGAGACCCAAAGCCAGGCCCCGTGTTAAGCTGGGGGTGTGGACATCAGTCCTCGCCTTATTTGAGGAAATGTACGTCTTTTTGGTCATATTCAAGGCTGGGGTGTTCTTAGGTGAGCTATTGCTGATATCACTGATGGGAAAGAAGCTCTATTATGTGGGTGAAATTCAGAAATTCAGACCAAGAATTACCGTTTTGATTACTCTCTCCCCGTCTCTGTCTCTGTCTCTGTCTCTGTCTCTCTCTCTGTCTCTCGATGGTGCTGCGAGTTGCTATGCACTGAGTCCTCTTATTTTGTTTTTGTTTTGTTTCATACTGGGTCTCCCTACATCACTAAATTGCCCAAAGTGAGCTCAAACTTTAATTCTTCTGCCTCAGCCTCCCAGAGTTCTGGGATTAAGGTGGGCACCGCCGCGCACCGTGCTACCCTTATCTGATTATCTTAACGGGACTGGGGCCTCCTGAAGACCCTGCCCCATTTATCCTCGCAGGCCTTGGCTGGCGCCGGGGCCTGTGTGGTTGTCTTCCTAGTGCCGAGACCTTGGGTGCTTTGCTGGTCCCTCAGAGGAGTTCCAACCTTAGTTCTGCCACCTGGCCTCCTTCACACTCCCAGAATGCTCTGCGTCTTGGGCTCCTCCCACATCGCGTGCGTGTTCCCAGCCTCCTCTGCGCTCACCCCTGGCCGCCCGTGCCTGCGCGGTGGGTCTACTGCTTCTGCTGTGGCTGGCTGGGAACCTGACCCTGGCTCCTCCGCTGGCCCAGGGCCGCGTGACTGCAGGCGATGCAGCTGCTGGGTCCCAGCTTGGTGGGCACTGAGGTTTCTGAAACCCGTTCCTTTAGTGGCCTCAGGAACAATGCGACTCCTGGTGAATCATCGCCCTGCCTGCGTGCAGCTGGCAGGGTCTGGCCGATCCTTCCCAGTCCTCCTCTACAGGAAGATTTTTCACTTTAGTAACCTAAATGGCACACTGAGTTGGGATTGCTTTATTGAGAGGAAGAAGCTATTCGATTTGGGTGGGGAAGGGAGGACAGTGCAGCACAGCGGAGGTCATTATATTTGCACCTTGGAGAAGTCCGTGACGGAAGGTGGCGACCCTGGGCAGAGGGGCAGTGTTTGCAAAGGCACGGAGGCACGGAAACACAGCATGCGTGAGAACAAGGTCTTACTGTTTGCGGAGCATGAACTCTGTGTATTCGTGGGAGAAAAGTGAGAAATGAGGTCAGTAGTGCCTCACCATCAACGTGCTGCGTAACTGCGTACGTTAATGTATGTGCTGCTGACGGGAGTGGGTTAGTAAGAGCCCAGGCACGAGGTCTGATACCAGTGAGTCTTAACCTGATTTGATTCTAGAGTAGTTTCCAATTACTCAGGAATCAAACCTGAATGCAGACTGGCACAGTGGTTAAAATTGAAACCCAAATGACCATGTTAAAAAAAAGTTTTTTAAGTAATCCAGTAAAATGGGCAAATGATCTGAATAAAGTCTCAAAAGCAGAAACACCGGTGACCACAGATGTAGGAAAAGATGCTCAATGTCAGAGCTGCCAGGGGAGCACACATCAAAGCTCCAGCGAGAGTCCAGCTCTGCTAGTTCTCATGGCCATTCTAAAGAAAACTCAGTTAAGAAATGCTGGCTTGGCTGGGAATATACCTCAGTGCCTGCCTGGCAAGTGCAAGGTTCTGCATTTGATTCCTGGTGTGAAAAAAAAAAATTCTGGCTGGGATAGGAAGAAAAAGAATTCTTCCACACTGTCTGTGAGAATAGTGTGGAGGGTCCACAAAGACTAAGAATAGGTCCTCTCTGGGACCTAGTGACCCTACTTCTGGATATATATATTCCAAGGGAATTAAATCAGCACACCGAAGAGTACTGTGTTTCTTGCACTATTTGCAATATCCAAGGTATGGATCAGCTTGGGTGCCCTTCAGCATAGAAGCAGATAAAGGAAATGTGGTCTAGATATCCAGTGGAATATTATTCAGCCAGAAAGAAGGAAATCCTGTCATCTGCAGCAAAATGGATAGAGCTGGAGGATGTTCCATTAAAGGAAATAAGCCAGGTTCAGCAGCACAAATACCACATATTTTCTTAAATGTGGAAGCTGAAAAACTGACCCAAATGTAGAATAGCCATACTAGAAGTTGAGAAGGGTGTTGGGAAAGGGGGTGTGCTGGATAAAAGGTTGGATTTGATTGGTGAATCCATACCCAGGTATGGAGACAGCACACTTAGCCAGATATAAAATCAATCAAAAAATAAAAAATAAAAGATAAAGTGTATTCATAAGGAGCTCAGGCTGGCCTGGGACTTGAGGTGATCCTGCCTCAGCCCCCCAAGTGCTGGGATCACTGTTGGGTACTGGGATCACCCCATGTGCCACCTATCTGGCCCTCTATTTTGTCTCTTTAAACATGCTCAGTTTGGGATAGGGATTTAGCTCAGTGGTTTAAGTGCTTGTCTGGCAAGCATGAGGTCGTGAGTTCAATCCCTGGTACCAATAAAATATAAATACAAAAATAAAAGATGCTCATCTTTTTCCTCCGGCAGGCAAAGATTCTTCCAAGCATGGTTTCCCACTCGGAGCTGAGGACGCTGTTCTGTGCGGCGGATGCCGTGTGCTTCGACGTGGACAGCACGGTGATCAGGGAGGAGGGCATCGATGAGCTGGCCAAGTTCTGTGGCGTGGAGGACGCAGTGTCGGAAATGTAGGGGCGGCCTGGGTGTGGTGGCAGGGTGGCAGGGCAGGGGGAGGTGCTGGGTGCTGGGTGCAGGCTGGTGAGCTTTCCCTCTTTCTCTTTCTCGTGGAGCTGGCTTGGCTGAACCTCCTCCCTATTTGTGCACAGTAACATCTGTGATAAGTGGCAGGCAGACCAGAGGAGCTGCGTTTATCTTGGACAGGAAGAGGAGGGCAGCTGGGTGTCTCCAAGGGCTGAGGGTTTTGTGTGTGACTGCATGGCCTCAGCAGGTCCCTGGAAAGCCCAGGTGGGTCCAGAGTCCCTGGATCCCAGGTCAGGGTCCCTCCTGCCCTCCCGCCCTCTTTTTATGGAGACAGGGTCTTGCTCTATAGTCCAGACTGGCCTTGAACTCTTGGCGATTTTCCTGCCTCAGCCTCCTGAGTATTGGGGTCATAGGTGTGAATGCATCGCAATGCCCAGCAAGATTCCTCCCCCCTCTTGGCAGTACTCTGTAGCAGTGGCGCCTCCCTGTGCTGCCACCTGTCACCAGGTGACTATTTTGTGCTGAGGTGCACTGGATGCGAGCGTTGCCAGCCTTGGGGTTCCTTCCTGGCTTAAGAGAGTTCCTAGCTTCCAAGGCAGACCCTGAGGTTACAGGAGGTTGGGTTACAGATGCTGAGTATATGGCTTACCTGGGCTGTGCTCTCAGAGCTGCACAGCAAGGCCCATGTTCAGGGGCTGCGGCAGCACCTTGATCTGGGAAGGCTCTGGACCCAGGCCAGGCCACCTGCCTGACTCGACTCTGGGGCTGTCCTAGGACTCGGCGGGCCATGGGCGGGGCAGTGCCCTTCCAAGTCGCGCTGGCCGAGCGCCTGGCACTGATCCAGCCGTCCAGGGAGCAGGTCCAGAGGCTGCTGGCTGAGCACCCACCACACCTGACCCCCGGTGTGAGGTAAGGTGGCCAGGTTCCCTGCCTTGATATCCTGCTGTCTGCTGCTGGGCACCCTGCTGTGTGGCCCCTTGCCTGGCATTGGTCCTGCCCAGTCAGCCCTCCCCTCCTGTGGGAGGCCCCAAGATTTCCTGTTTCTTTATTTGAATTTAAATTGATTTTAATTTTGAAACAGAGTTTCACAAAATTTCCCAGGCTAATCTCAAACTTGAGATCCTCCTGCCTCAGCTTCTCAGAGTTCTAGGATGATAGGTGTGCCCTGGGGTTTTTTTTGTTTGTTTGTTTTTGGTCCCAAGAATCAAATTCAGGACCTCACACTTGCCAGGCAGGCACTTATGCTGCTGAACTAAACCCTCGACCCTCCTGTGTTTCTTCATCTCCTGTTTTTCTGCGTTCATGAGCAGAAGAAAGTTGTGTCAATGAGCAGAAAAGCAACACCTACTCATTTTTTTTTTTTTTACCACCCACTCATTTCTGAGTGCGGTTAGAAAAACATGATTAACCATGTTAGCATCTTGTCACATACATCGCATGAGTGCTCTCAGCAGAAAACAATGTATTTTAGATGTAAGTTTGTGTTAATGGAGGTCTGGTGTTTTGCAGGGAGCTGATAAGTCGCTTGCAGGAGCGTGGCGTCCAGGTTTTCCTCATCTCTGGTGGCTTCAGGAGTATCGTAGAGCACGTTGCCTCAAAGCTCAATATCCCAGCAGCCAATGTGTTTGCCAACAGGCTAAAATTCTACTTTAACGGTAAGACCTGATAGGACCGAGTCCCTTTCCTGTCAGACCTGTCAGTGTTGTCCTAGGCTGTGTCTGTTAAAGTCAATATAACGTCAGTCTTTTCTCTACAACAGACTTAGCTCAGCCTCTGTCCTAGCTTTAATGTTCATGTCATGCCCCGTCTGTATATAAGTGACTGCATTTAAGCTGGTGGTGGTGGCAGATGTGTCATCCCAGCACCTGGGAGGCTGAGGCAGAAGGATCGCAGGGAGTTCAAGGTCAGCATGGGCTACATAGCAAGACCCTATCTCAAAAAAGCAAACAAAAAAATTGAAAATAAGTTGAAATGTCCCCTTAGGTAGGATGGTATATTAGCATAGTGAACTGTGTATCTTATTATTTTCGGGTGTTTTGCCAGCTCAGCAAGGTTTAGAATCACTACATAGGGGCCTAGAAGATGCAGCTCACTCACTTGGAGGCGTTCGTGACTCCACAGCGCCCCACCCAGGCCAAGAGCTGTTCGCAGTATAAAGCAAGGCTTACTTATCCTGGGAGCAGCGGGAGCCCCAGCTAGGAGGTGACTTCCCCAAGGATTGTGTGGAGCCTATTCAGTGCCCTCTAAGTGTGAATGAAGTCACTGAGGGTCCAGCTGGCCCCTTAGCTCCGTCTGTGCCCGGAAAGGGGAGGGGACCTGACGCTGTTCTGTTCTTCCCAGGTGAATACGCGGGTTTTGATGAGACACAGCCAACAGCCGAATCTGGTGGGAAAGGGAAAGTAATCAAATTTTTAAAGGAAAAATTTCATTTTAAGAACATAGTCATGGTTGGAGATGGTGCCACAGACATGGAAGCCTGCCCGCCTGCTGTATGTATTGCTTTCTTCTTCTTCTTTTTTTTTTTTTTTTTTTTTTTTTTTTTGTACCAGAAATTGAACCCACTACCTTGCAATTTGCCAGTCAGGCACTTCTGCCACTGAGCTATAGCCCCAGCCCCGCCTACTGTAGGTATCAAGGGGATTCTGCTTCTGGTTGGAATTTTATCTTAGACAGCTGATTTAGAATTGCATGAGGTCTACAGCAAGAGTTAAAAATAGCTGAGATCATTATAAAACAAACTAAAAACACAAAACAGCTAAGACAATCTCCTCAATTGACTTTTTGCAAACCTAGGAAAATTTATGGCTAAGGAGCTATTACTTTGAAAACTTTTATTGCCAGGTATGGTGGCAATTCTTATAATCCTAGCGCTGAGAGGCTGAGGCAGGAGGATCACAGAGAGTTCAAGGTCATGTGAACTACATAGCGAGATCCTATCTCAAAAAGTAAACAGAAACTTCTACTGACCCCTTTGGCCTTGTGGCCCAGGCTGGGCTCAAACTTACAGTTCTCCTATTTTAGCCTCCTAGAGTGCTGGGATAACAGCTGTGGTGCCATCACTAGGAAACCACCATAGGAAAACGAAGAAACCACCATTAGGAAAAAAAAAGATCATTTGGCATGTGTGGTGATGCCTGTCTGTTCTCACAGTATGTGGGAGCCTGAGGCAGGAGGATCACTGTGAGTTGAATGACATGGCAAGACCCTGCCTCAAAAGAAAAGAAAAGAAACAGAAGAAGAAGCCGGGCGTGGTGGCTCAGGCCTGTAATCCCAGCACTCAGGAGGCTGAGACAGGAGGATTGTTATCAGCCTGGGCTACAAAGTGAGCCCAAGGGCAGCCTGAACTGCATAGTGAGACCTTGTCTCAAAAAGACAAAAAAAAAAAAAAAAAAAAAAAAAAAAAAAAACTGACTAAAATAAGGTCTCATTTAGTGTAATTAATGAAATGATGATGCTGTAACTAGAAATTTTAACTATGAAAGTAGAGACGGGGGGCTGGGGATTTAGCTCAGCGGCATAAGCACCTGCCTTGCAAGCAGGCGGTCGTGAGTTCAATCCCTGGTACCAATAAAAATGAAAAAGACAAAAAAAAAAAAAAAAAAGAAAGTAGAGACAGGCCTGTTCTGAACAGGTCAGCTGCATCCCCCCAGCCAGGGACCTGTGGGTTACTGCCCCTCACTGTGGTCTCTGGTCACTGCGGTTACTGCCTACATGTGTCAGGCAGGAGGTGGAGGGCGCAATCCTGACTCCAGTGCAGCAAGCCTGCCTGTCCCCTGCTGACCTGGCATAGATGTGTTTGCTCTCCAGTTTAGAACACAGACTTTAACCTGCGATGTGATCCGATCTTAGAAAGTATCTGTCAAGGTGTTGGGAGGGCATGGCCACATGTTCCTTTTCCCCTGAACACCCTGTATGTGCCCTGGGGAGGCTGAAAGCACAGGCTCACCTTCTTTGTATGAAATTTCTTCTTTCAAACAAAAATATTGCCCTCGCCCAGACATGGTGGCACACGCCTGTAATCACAGCACTTAGGAGGCCGAGGCAGGAGGATTGTGTGAGGTCAAGGTCACCTGGGGCTACCCAGTGAGTTTAGAGCCAGCTACTTATCCAGGCCCTGTCTCAAAAAACACAAAAATTGCCCTGACCTACTGCTGCATTATTTACAAAAAACATTTACTTCCCTCCTTTTTTTTTTTTTCCCTAGGATGTTTTCATTGGATTTGGAGGAAATGTGATCAGGCAACAAGTAAAGGACAATGCCCAGTGGTACATCACTGATTTTGTGGAGCTCTTGGGAGCCCTGGAAGAATAATGTACACTTTTATGCACCTTGTAACAACTTTCGATCAACTTTTAAAAGTTACATAGCTTGACACTGCTGGCTTGCACTGCCAAGGAGGACTTGGTAAAGTTGATTCTCTGCACATTCAAGTAAACAGTAGGACTCCTCATAAAGGGTGGGATTTGAAAACATAGTTCAGTGTTTTGGTAGGACAAGTCCCTGGGGAATTTCATCATCTGGATTCTTCTATATTAACACTAGATGTATTTTACTTGAAGCCTTTGAGAGGCATATAATAAACTAAATATTTCCATTCCGGGGTAGTTGAGTTCCTTGGCCTGAAGTGAACACCCGTGACCCGTTGGTGTAGCAGTAAAAGTTTATCTGCTTGATTTGTGGGGTTTGAATTCTGCCTTTTATGCAGGGAACCATGAGATTTCTGTTTCCCTGGGCACAGTGTCCCTGTTCTGCTGGCCACTGCAGAAGAACTGTCACCTGTCCCTGAGATCCACAACGCTTACCGTTTCCCAAGAACACAGGAGGCTGGGAACAAGGAGAAGGCTTTGTGTAGACCAGCTCCAAGGAGATGGGGGGCCTCTGCCTGTCGCAGGGTGGGTGCCTTGGGTGTGGCAAGAGGACATCAGGGAAAGGCACCGGGCCAGCAGCGGGCTCTGGCCACTCAGGTACCCGAGCAGCACCTGCAGTTCTGTTTCACTAAAGGCCTGCGCCACGGTGCCCAGTGGATCAATTCCATTTTTTTATTAGTAGCTGTCTGCAGGGCAGGAGGATTACAGGACGCATGGGGATTGCTCCCTGCATAGAAAGCATCTTACTTCCTTGCTCACCCCTGCCCCTCCCCTTCTCCTCCTCTAGATTCCTCTTCCCATTTGAGAAAGTTCAGTTTTTTTGAGGCAGGGTCCCAACAGGTAGTCAGGCTGGCCTCAAACTCACAGTGATCCTCCTGCCTTATTCTCCTGCCTCAGCCTTTTCAGTTTTTAAAAATCTATGATACTCTCAGTAACAGCTCTGGGAAAGTTTTTTTCACCTCTTATTATGTTATATGTGGAATGTTATTAAGGTTTGGTAAAAAACAAACATAGATCCTTAAAAGTACTGGTGGTGTGGTGGTGGAGGCCTGTCATTCCAGCCCTCCAGAGGCTGAGGCAGGAGGATCACTGCAAGTCTTAGGCCAGCCCAAAGGACATAGTGAGATCCTGTCTCACAAAGCCAACCCCTCCCCCCAAAAAACTCTGGTCTTAAAAATACAATTTGTGTGTGTCTTTTTTTTTTTTTTTTATTGGTACCAGGGATCGAACTCAGGTCTGCCTGCTTGCAAGGCAGGTGCTTATGCCGCTGAGCTAAATCCCCAGCCCGTGTGTGTGTCTTTTTGAGGCAGAGTCTCCCTATGCAGTTTGGGCTGGCCTTGGACTCACTTTGTAGCCCAGGCTGGTCTCCAACTTGCAAAGGTTCTCCTGCCTCAGCCTCCCAAATGCTGGGATTACAGGAGTGCACCATCACACCCAGCTTTTTAAACATAGAATATTTGAAAATTACATGAAGTAGAATCACAAAGGCCAACTTTTCCCTCTAAACAAATTAAGAGCTCCCAACAGCATACGTGAATCCCAAGAGCGTAAATATGGCTTCGAAGACAGACGAGCAAAGCAGGTTCCTGTTTATTTTGAGCAGTAACAAGAAAGGAAATTACAGAATGAACTGGGAAAGAATGAGGTTCTCCATCCTTGGAGGAAAAGGGGAAGGGGAGAGCGAGACTAGGGAGTTATGCAGGATATACCAGCCGGTGATTTAGTGGATGGCTGCTTGGGTTTGGTTTTGGGGTTTGGTGGTTGTGCCGAGATCAAGCCCAGGTGCTGTAAACTATTTGAAAAACATCATTTAACTGGCTTAGAATTAACTAAGTAAATCGGATGCATCCAATCTCCTTCAAAATCGGTTTCCAACTGGGTCCAGTGGCCCTCACCTGTAATCCCAGCACGCAGAGGGGGCAGAGGCAAGGTGGCTCGGAAAGCCAGTCAGGGCAGCTCAGCAATTAGTTGAGGCTGGAAATCAAAATCGAAAGGGCTGAGGGAAACCGACTTAGTTGGCAGCCATTAACGGAGCTTCTACACAAGGCGGTCGTTTTGTAACTCAAATGACTCGCGGGCTGCCTGGGGAGCCTGCAGGGCGGCACCTAGCGCAGGCAGGACCAGGCCTGCTGGGAGGGGGGTACCGCAGGAGCGCGCAGAGCAGGGTGTGGGGTCTCAGGAGCCACTATCCAGGGGCAGGGCAGAACCAGAAGGATGCGGACTGACTGGGGACTCTGCTCTGCAGGGGAGCCACGAAGCCCGCGTGGAACTAGCTTGCTTTCCCTTTTCTGTTTTCTCTCCCTCTCCCTTCTTCCTGGATTGGACCCAGGGCTTCACACTGAGCCACATCCCCAACTCTTCAGAGCCAGGTCTTCCTAAGTCACTTAACTGCCCTGGCTAGGCTTGAGTGCCTCCTGCCGCAGCCTCCCAGCATGCTGGGCTTGCAGGCGCGTCTGGCTTCTGCCACCTTTCCTACAACACAGAGCACTCCTGTGACACACAGGCTGCCCAGCGCCAAGCACACTGCCCAGAGAGACCCACGCAACCCTTCGTTGGCTTGCAGGGGCAAGTTTGAAATGACATTAGAGATATATGGCCGTCTCCTTTTCCAATTCTGGAACTGCTAGAAATGTTTCCAGTCACTTGGAGTTGTGCCCCTGCTTATCTCTCTGGTATCAAGGAAAAGATCTTGTGCAAAGCCAGCTGCAAAGGGGCAGGGGTGGGGCTTTGCTGCCTTAAACCGGCATCTCATGTGTTCAGGCTGTAAGAAGGGGCGCAGCAGAGCAGGCTGCAGGGGAAGCACACCGTGCTGCTGCCCTACGGCCCGGGGTGCCTTCCCCACTCCCAGGTGTAGTGCGCATCTGTATCCTGTCACCCAAGCCACAGAGGGGTGTTGGTGGCCATGTGACCCCAGGATGAAGTTCAGCAGGTGCCTAGCTCTAAAAGACAGCCCTTCACATGCACATGTGTATGTATGACACAGGCCCCGCTATGTAGGCCTGAACTCACTGCGACCCTTCTGGCTCAGCCTCCTGAGTGCTGGGTTATGGACCTGCACCGTCACGCCTGGTTTATTTTTTGAGATTGTATCTCACTAAACTGCTAACTGCCCAAGCTGGCCTTCAACTTGCAATCCTCCTGTCTTGGCCTCCAGAGCCCAGCAACTGCACACAATTTCTAAATGAAGATTCCTTCTGTTCCCAGCATTTTCCCCCAGTTCTGAATAGTCGGGTGAATAGCTAGGTTTCCCTTCCTACTACACATGAATGCCATTTTTCTTAGAGACAGTGATTTTGTATAAATTGTTCTTTTCCTCAAATACATCTTGCGGATGTGTGGCTGGCTCCGTGCTGGGTGGGGTAGAGGACAAGGGTGAAACATCCTGTTCCCCAGGAGCCGACGGTCCAGGCAGGACCCAGACGGTTAGAGGAACCCACGGTGCAGGTCAGGGCCAGGGCTAACATGGAACATGTGCAAATTAAGAGGATTTTACTGGCTTTGGTATTTTCTCAGAGAAAACCATCCACATGTAAAAGTTTAACATCTGGCGAGAGATTTCTGCACACTTTATTTTACATATCAGTTCAATTCATGGGGCAGATTCGTTTTTCAGTTTATGGGGACGCTCCCATGATCACTGCCCACAGAACACACGGCCCGGCGCAGCATGCACCGCCCCACAAGCGCTCAGGAAGCGCAGGCCTGAGCTTCTGACAGAGCAAGCTGAGGGGTCTCAGGTCACTGTGATGCTTTACAAAATAAAAGCTCTCTCCCAGTACTACTTGCTTTATAGAAAAATATTACAAATAAAAATCAGTGCTATTCAAGGTGTTCATTTCAAAAATCACGCATGATACAGGCGCAGGCCTCCTCCCCCATGTGCAGGATACACACACCCTCCCGGACGCCGCCCAATTCTAGCTGCTTAGAAAGGAGCCGGTGCTCCACATCCACGGACCAGTCCACCTGTCACGGGTCCTGGCTTGCGACTCAGAAAAAGGAGAAATGATTACATCTGCATATCTTCTGGATACAAGAAATTTGTCCAAATCTGTCATTATGAAATGCACTTGCTTTTTTTTTACAAAGAAATGGCTGATTTTTTTCATGGTTGGAATCTTGTTTTGAAATAACTCTAATTTCAGACTGGACCCTCTCTTCCTGGAGGGCAGGGAAGGCAGGCTACCGTCCAGTTGGTTTGACAAATTAGCATGTGTTTCAGGCCTCGGAGCTCAACGTGGCTTCCTTTCTCCAATTATGTCAACTTTCAAGATAAGAGGTCTCTGTAAGCTATGTACAGCCATTTATAATTCAGCATGTCTTGTTTCACTTGATACACGATTAAATTAATTTAGGACCAACACTTGCCACACACGTTTGCACAGGCACACACAGTCTCTAGCTTACTGCAGGGGTGAAGTCTTCAGCGGGATCATGATTCTCGACTCCATCTCCTGGATGAGCGGGACTGAAACGGGAGCAGAGTTACTGTGCTTGTTCCTTTCTAGCCCTGTCATGGTGCAGGCACACGGGGGGTGCGGGCTTGCCACCACAGCAGAGCACCGATCTTGGGGCAGAAAGGCGTGCTCAGGACAGCAACGCCAGCGTCCCAAGAGGCTGTTCACACCCAAGCGTCCTTCCTGGAGAGCCGGAGAGTGGCTCGATTTGTGGCAAACTGGCAAAGTCTACAGTGTGAGGAAAAGGGGTTTCTCCAAAGGATCCTTGAACCAAAGTAAATTTATACAAAGCCAAGAATCCTGTACAAAGATACAGACAGACTGTATTTGTTAAACTTACTGCTGAGTAAAACACGCCTCTGGGAACTGATGAAAGTGTAAGCAAGCCATAAAATCACAGTTACGGGTTTTTTTGAACTGAGACCAGGTAATACCTACTTCCTGGGGTAAATGACTCCTGTTCTTGGTGGCGCACAGCTTAAATGCGACTAGGGCTTAGGACCTCCTCAGTCTCCCGGGTTATTCTTAGCTGTTTCCTTATGCAAATCAAACAGGGCCCCACAATACTTGTACAGCCTGGTCTGCAGGCACGCATCGTGCACATGGAAAGTCTATTTCCTGAATTTAATCTCAAGTTTACTCATCTCTTGGTGCTGGGAATCAAACGTGAGGCTAAGCTCCCCTCTGCTGCACCTGACTCTTGAATTAAGGTACAATAAGTTCTGTCTTTGGGAACTGATGACTATGATGAAAGAGACAGCTTAGGAAAGTATTTGTGTAATCCACTTTCAGGAAATATGGGTGTTATAAAAAGGTAATACTGTAAAATTTACAGTATCCAAGAGCCTGAAAACAGAAGCAGGCAATATTCATACTTGAAAGAATGACTGTTCTTCTAGAGAGAAAAGTCAAGGAAGTATTACAAATCTGTCTCCCCTCTCCCCAGCCTTGTGCCTGACCACCCTGACAACACAGGGGATGATTTAAAAAGCAGGCATGTTAACTTGTTACAAGGTGAGGAGGAGGAAGCGTTTCCAGATCACCTGTGTAGTACACCAGCTCCTCCCAGCCGTGCTTGTGCCAGGCTGCGTTCCGCGTGTCCTCCCGGCTCTGCAGATCCTTGTAAGCTTAAGAAGAAGCACAGACAAGAAACAGGACTCAAACCAAACCCAGCGCCACCTCCACCAGTCCCTGCCTCTGGCTGGTCCCCTTTCCTCAATCTGCTCTGACACTGAGGACTGAGCAGGAACACTGCAAGCCTGTCACCCCATGTGACAACCTGCTGTCACCCCTCAGCCCAGTGAGCGCTGGTCAGCAAGGGAACTTTCCAGACCAGATCAGGTGCATTCAGGGAGGTGTGGCTGGACACAGCAAGGGAACTTTTCTTGTTTTTGAGACAGGGTCTCACTACGTAGGTGAGGTTGGTCTTGAATTCTCTATTTAGCCCAGGATGACCTCAAACTCACAGTACCACTTCTGCCCTCCTTCCATGGCCCAGCTTCCGCCTGGGCCAGATGCCCTCTCCCTGACAAGCTCTGGCCTTCAGGCCTTCGCCCTCACCCCCAAACTGCAGTCTCCATCATCTGTTCACAGGCTGGGTGGGCTCTCAGTGCTCTCAACTAAAAAGTGTTTTAGGGGCTGGGGCTGAAGCTGGTGGTAGACTATTTGCCTACTGTATGTGAGACCCCAGTTCAATCCCTAGGCTGGAAAAAATAAAATACAAAATATGTTCCTATTGTAAAATAGCTCTTTGGTGGCTGGTTTATTTCCTTCAGTAGAACCTCAGATTCACCCATTAGAAAATGCAGTGACTCTGAACCCCATTTTATGGCTGTCTTCTACACCTCACTGATCCACTCTCCTCTGTATGTGACTCTGGGGTTGGGACACTTTTGAACAATGGTACTGAGCATCCAGAAAGGGTGTTGGGGCAAGGGTCTGAAATACTAATACATCACTCTGCCCTACCGCAAAGCCCTGAGAGTTCAACAACACGCAGTACAATCTCAAGAGACAGAAATGTACAACAGATTTGTTTTAAAAATCTACAGTATTTGAAAACTCGTACTCATGGTGTCAAATCTCAGCTCCCAGAGACAATGTTGCCAACTGGTGTCCCAGGAAGCGGAAGGGACTGGTGGCTTCTGCCACACAGTGCAGTGTGAAGTCCCATGGTGCAGTGGGGCTGGGCTGTTTCTGCAGGAAGCATTATTTCTGGGAGTGAGGACGGGGCCTCTTCCTCACGTATTCCTTTTTGCCTTAACTTACCCACTCAGACCTAGGTCCTGGCTATCACTGATTAAAGTGATCTGAGTGACTTTTATCATCTCCTGAGTCCCCACCACTGTCCCACCTGCCTTCCTGCCTCTACTGTTGGTTCCTTTAGGTCCTAAAGTCCAGCTGACCTCCCACTGCAAACTTCCCCAAGGACATGTGACTTTATATCCTCTGTCTCCAGAGTGATCCCAGTCACATGCTGCCCGTCGCAGTTACTCACTCTGCACTGTCCTCAGCAGATCTGCCCTTCTCCCCTTGTAAACCAACACAGCAGCACAGGCAGGAACACAGCACTAACCCTGGCCACGAGCTGCCTGGCTCTGGCGTGAGTTATGCTTCAACCTCAATTTTTTTTTTTTTTTTTTAACTTTTTATCAGTACCAGGGATCAAACTCATGACTGCCTGCTTGCAAAGGCAGGTGCTTATGCCGCTGAGCTAAATCCCCAGCCCCTTCAACCTCAATCTTAACATCCGCCTACATACGTGCCTGGGACGCAGGCGGAATCACACTACGGGACCAGAGGCTGAGTTTCTGCTCTAGCAGGAAAAGCAGCACCAACAGCCATCAGTGTGATCACCACCCTAGGAAGGGCTATGGGGCTCAGAGGGTGGCATTCACTGGGGCAGGAGTCGGCTCCCATCTCAGTCAGCCCTCAAAGACAACAAAAGGGTGGCCGACACAAGTGGCTGAGAGCCCATGCGTGGGAGCTGCTGGTCTGGCTACAGCTGGGCACTGGCTCCGAGCACACGGTATGCGGCCTGGGAACGTGGGCCTCTATCACCCTCCGTCTCCTGCGGCTGCTGGTTTCACCTCTTCCCCTTTCATCATTGCAGCCGTTCTTTATCAGTTTTTTTTTTTTTTTTTTTGTCTTTTTCTTTTGTTATTGGTACCGGGGATCAAACTCACGACCACACACTTGCAAGGCAGGCGCTTATGCCGCTGAGCTAAATCCCCAGCCCCTCTTTATCAGCTCTTATACAATGGATCTAGGCAGCCCACGCTGTTTTCTTAATTTTTTTTTGGTCTGTTTGAGACAGGGTCTCGCTATGCAGTTCAGGCTGGCCTTGGGCTCACTTTGTAGCCCAGGCTGGTCCCCAACTCACAAAGATCCTCCCACCTCAGCCTCCCAAGCGCTGGGATTACAGGTATGAGCTACCACACTCGACGGTAGCCCTCGCTGTGGATCGTTTCAGTTTTTTTTGGAGATAGAGGTGCACCATCCCACCAGGCTTCTTCAGCTTTGGATGCCACAACACTTAGCACCCCCCTGTGATGTGTAGCTTTGCTAAAGTGTGTAGTAAGGTTACTGACTTGAGATTTCCTCCAGTGCCTACAACAACTTAGTTAGCAATGAACCCTTAAGTCCCAGTAACTTGCTGAGTGAGGTGGTACATGCCTCGAATCCAAGCATACTAAAGGGAGGCTAAAGCACAAGAATGCCAAATTTGAGCCCCTCCTGGCAACTCAGCTAGATTCTGTCTAGAGAAAAAACAATAGAATCAAACAAAGGCAAAACATCCATACCCCAAAGATGATGAACCATGTATAGCTGCCCAATCTGAGAGAAGAATCCTCCCACTGCTTCGTTATTGTCTTGTCGAAAACGAATTGCACGGGCCCTGGAAGAGAGACAACACTCACACACTGGACGGATGGTCAGGAAGAACTAGCAGGCTGCATCCTCCAGACTCAAGGCCAGACCTCGGACTGCAGCTTTTGTTTTTTAGACAGGGTCTCACTATATAGTTTAGACTGGCCTTGAACTCAGTGATCCTCTTGCCTCAGCCTCCCAGGGCTGGGATTACAGGTGTGCACCACTGCACCTGTAATTTCTTTCTCTCTCTCTCTCTTTTTTTTTTTTTTTGTCTTTTTCCTTTTTATCAGTACCCGGGATCGTTTGCTGCTGAGCTAAACCCCCAGCCCCTCTGTCTGTCTGTCTTTCTTTCTTTCTTTAACAGAGTACAGTATTTGGGAAAAGAGTATCAAAAGGCACTCATTATACACATATTACACACACAGATTAAAGTGCGTTATGTCTTTTTTTTTTTGGTACCAGAGAAAATTCATGACCATGTGCTTACCAGGCAGCCACGTAGGCCGCTGAGCTAAATCTCTGGCCCTCATATATGCTTTCCATACACAACAAAAAAACTGTGACTAAATTGGTTAACAATGGGTGTTTTAAACTTTATAAAATTTTCCTCTGCCAAAAGGTACTGGCTTTTTAAATACCTCCTTTCGTACTTGTACTGGACCTTTTATTTTTACTTCTGTTATAATTTGGATTCTTAAAAATGTATTTTTACAAATGTAATTTTTGTGAATCCCAGTAGACACAGAACATCTGGGAAGCAGCACCAGATGAAATAGTGAAGTCCCCCCAAGAAGTAAGCTGGGGTCAGTCAGGAGCTCCAAATGCTGCAGCATCCTGGGGATGGTCACTGTCATATAAATGTGGATGGCGGGCTGCGTGTATCCAACCGGGGTAGGGGGACCTCACCCTTGGCCACTGTTTCTGGGGGAATGCAGGGGATTCCCTGCAGCATCACAATGGCAGCTGCAGAACTGGGAGAACCCGCTGGGAGGGACAAGGCCAGTGTCCTCAAGGCTACTCAGTGGCATCCGCTCTCATCCACCAGAGCTCAATGCCACACTGGACACCCGGCCCGAGCTCCCAGTTCCCTTCTGGTGGAGGAGGGACACTTGCCCTGTCCCTTGGATTATCCAGAAATAGTATTAAGCACATTAGCTTTCACATTTGGAACTGAGTAATCAACATCTTCACAAAAATTACACATCCAATTAATAAATTATTGGAATTAAGCAAATCAATTTCCCATGCGTTCTAACTACACTCAGAGGAGAGAACTTTATCATTGAGAGTGATACATGTTCTGGATTATTCATTTCATTCTGAAGTTTTCTAATTCAGTCAGGGAGGGCAAACAGAACATACTTGCCGTGGCCTGGGAAAAATCAGAGGCGTGGACTAAGAGGAGCTCTCCGGCCCATGGTTACCTACATGCCAAAATAGACATCGAACACTGAACTGGCTTTACAGACAAAGAACTGAGACCTCAATACGTCCTTGTGGATTCCCTGGTGAGATGTTATTTGGTAAAATATGAAACCTGAACAAGTGGGTGAGTCTATCCTGTGAACACCTAGACACTGCCGCACTTATTGGCCAAAAACAAAGCACAAAAATAGAAACAAAAATCTCTGGACAGCTGCATCTGTAAGGCCGGAGTGTAGTCACGTACAGATTTCTCAGGTTTCAATCAACAGAAACAGTTACTTGTGTATCACAGACATCCTCATTTAATGACTTCCTGGACTTTCAATCTGTCATTTTTTGGGCACAGTTCTGGTCATCTTGCTGACAGAGCCTCACTGTCGCTTTTTTTTTTTTTTTTTTTGGTATACAACACCTTGTGTACACAGTGCTGTAACTTTTGCTGATAATACCGTAGATAAGTGCAATTCTGGTGTACACTACAGTACTGTATGTAAGAGTGATATAAATACAAACAAAATCAAGCTGGAGTTTCCTGTATCCATACTATAATACTATCAGCAATTCCTCATTTAGTGACCCAAGCATTTAGCAGCCTGACTGCAGGAATGTAACCCTGTCATCAGATGAGGAACGGCTGCACTTGGCTTCTGATGACCCAAGAAGAGTCATTAGAAATAAAGATCACAGAACACAGAACCATGTGTTTGAACAGGAGAGAGAACTCAGAAATTACTAAACGCAAAACAAGGTATTTCATAATCAAAAAAGGAGAACAGCATAAGCTGAAAGTCAGTCAAAGTCACAGGTTCTCATTTCAAGAAAGAAAGGATCCGAGCAATCAAGTGATTTCCTCCCACCACTCTGCCAGCCTCCCCTCTGGTGGGAAAATGATTTTGAAAATGATAGTTTGGAAAACACAGCAGTGAGTTTCTGAGGAACTGAGTTAATTCAAAAGACATACAGTATAGAGAATTCCTCCCAAGAATAAAGATGGCAGCAGAAAAATTAAGGGGTAAATATATTTATCTAAGATTTCAAGGAAAAAAATGGTCAAGATCTTTTATTGAATGAGATATACTTCCAGGTTTACTTCAACCTTTTTTTTTTGGTGGTACCGTGAATTAAACTCAGGCCCTTGTTCTTGCAGACAGGTGCTATGCCACTGAACTATATCTCAGCCCTACTTTGACTTTTTTTAGGAAACTATTCTAACATCTCAAAATTAAAAATACTTTCAGTCGCGTAAGCTCCTGCCTGGCAAGTGCAACATCATGAGTTCAATCCCTGGCACCAAAACCAAAACCAAAACTTTTGACGATCAAACAAATACCATATTACAGAAAGTTCAGAGAGAGGAGAAAAGAACACTAACAATTTAATCACCATAAAAGTTTCTTTTCTTTTCTTTCTTTTTTTTTTTTTTTTTTTTGTCTTTTTTTCATTTTTATCGGTACCAGGGATCGAACTCACGACTGCCTGCTTGCAAGACAGGTGCTTATGCCGCTGAGCTAAACCCCCAGCCCCCACCATAAAATTTTCAATATCATTTTCCATTTCTAGTCCCAGATACTGACTTCAGCTGACAATGAACAAGGTGGCCAGTGTTGTATTGTAATGGTGAAAGCTGCAGCTTTGCTGCTAATAGTAACGGCACTTCCTGTGTTCCCCACAGGTGTATTAAATGGTCACACAATGAAGGCAATCTACAGACTCATAATTCCCTGAAAACACCAATGACATTCTCCACAGAACCAGGAAACAAAGCAGTAATTCCAGCAGTAGAGCAACAGAACAGGTGACCCAGAAATAAAACTATGCAGCTACAGCTATCCAATTTTGGCTTTTATTTCCTGAACCTGAGTCAATTTCTGTATACAGTGGGGGAAACAAAAAGAGCTAGCCGGGAGTCCTGGTGCATACCTATAATCCTAACACTTTGGGAGGCGGAGGCAGGAGGAGTGCTGAGAGTTCAAGGCCTAGACTACAAATCCTGTCTCAAAAAACCAACAAAGAAAAAGAAAAAAGTTTTGCACAGTAGGAAACCATTAACAGAGTAAGACCAGAATGGGAAAAAAGTGTTTGCCAGCAATTTAGCTGAAAGACTAATACTCAAGACTATACAGAGAACTTAACAAAACAAAAGCAATCAAGAGAAGATTCAGCAAGATGACAAAGCAGGCCCTCCCTTGAGCCCTTGCTCCCTGAAGCAACTGGCTGACACCGAGGACTTGGAGAGATGCTAGCAGCTGACGTGGTTTGAGCTGTTTGACTGACTCTGCAGGCCTGGGGCTGGTGGTCCAGGCATCTATTTGGAGGATGGCAGGGTGCACTGTGGCCATTGTGGGAGATTTCCTTCTGTCTTGTTTTTGAAATCCAATGTTTTGTTCCATTTTGTTTTGTTTTATTACTGTGTCTGATAACCTGAGCAACTATTTTGAAGATAATGATATGCAGTATAAGCACCATTGTTAAATTCGATCATCTTGTTTTGAAAACCTAAATAGCTGTTGTTTTGTTGTTGTTGGTTTCCTTTTGTTGTTATTAGGTTTACACCTTGATTTTCCTGTTTTTTCACTTTAAAATAAAAAAAATGTACAACAGATATCGTGAATTGGGAAGAAACTGCTCAAAAGAAAAGACAAACTTTTCTTAGGGGAAAGAAGAATAAAAGGAAAAAAATATGTATATACAAGACAGTAAGGGTAGTCACACAGATAGCTGGCTCGTGTATGTTCCTTGAAAAGAATGTTTTGTGCCAATATTGTTTAGACAAGGTATCATGCCTGTGTCCTACTCTGAATAACTACCACCACCGGTACGTCATGTACCAAGTACTGTAACTGCCCTACTATTCTGTTTTGAAACTCATTTTCATTGCTTATGTTTTTTTCTTTAAAACTTTTTAAAAAACATCAAAACAACATGTAATCCTATTCATAAATGGGCAAACGACTGTAAAAGTCACTTCTCAATAAAGTCAAAGGTTCAACATCTTTACCAGAGAAATTCAAAACTACACTTAGATTTCATCTTACCAGAACAGCTATTTTAAAAAAAGCAATCACCACCATTACCACCAAGACACTCCCAAACTATTGGCAAGAATACAAGAGAAACAGGAAGTCTTCATACACTGTGGGTGGGAATATAAATTAGAACAGCTTGTGAAGATCAGTAGAGAGGTCCCTAAAAATTAAAACCAGAACAGCCACACAACCCTCCCACACTGCTCCCATGTCTCCCTGAGGCAGTGAGGCCAGCAGGTGGCATGGACGCCAACGCTGGACACTGTGTTCCCCGCAGCGCTGCTCCCAGGAGCTGGGTCTGTGGCAGTCTGGACACGCAGCATCTGCACGCAGAGTGTTACTCAGCCAGGAGGCACACAGAACTCAGGTCACCTGCGGGAGAGCAGATGGCACTGGAGGGCACGGGGAGAGAGATAAACCAGACCCAGATGACCATCACACGTTCTCCCTAATATGTGGAACCTTGAATGATGACAGGAAAGCAGAAGGGCAACTATTATTAGGAGATTGGGGAGAGGGGAGGGGCAGGTAAGGACACCTAATATGGGACAGGAGTAGGACCAAAATACATTGAAACAGCTCTCAAAGCACGCACAACTGGGTGGGTGGAAGGATGGGGTGGTGGGACAGATGAAAATGTGGATGTGCACATAAAAAGTAAATTCTTCTTTTCCCTGTTTGTAAAATAATCCACGTAAATGTAAACTCTCTTCTCTTCCCTTCAATTACTAACAAATACTCTATTCCTAATTTCTGAAGCAGTTTTTATTAGGAAGTAGTCTTTCAAGCTGGAGTCGGATCTTACCACCTGCCTTCTGAACATGCGCTGCGATGGTTCCAACAGTCAACATGATGAAGAGACCCCCTAATCCCATTTTCCCAGGACTCAAACTTTCCCGCTCTGCTGTATTTGGCTTGGTTCTTCCCATAAAGGATGAGCACTGCAGACAGGGAAGCGTGCTACCTTTTGTCCTCATCTCTGCCCACCCTCTCTTCCTCCAGGGCTGGCGCCAGTGTGGCCTCATCGGTTTTACATTTGTCCTCTGCATGTGACACCAGGATGCAGGGCTCTTGCTGCATCTTTACAGACTTCCCCACCCGCCAGGTTAGCTCAATTAGCAAGGCCCTGCCTCAGAATGAAATATGAGAAGAGCTTGTGAGGTGGCTCTGTGAGGAGGCCCTGGGCTCAGCCCCCAGCCCCAAATGCACACAAAGAAAGAAAAAGGTTTCCATAGAAGATGCCATCTTTGCATATCCTTTGGTAGCTCTCTCTCTTCAACATGGTATCCTCAAGAGTCATCCATGCCATCAGTTCAGAGCCGCTTTACCTGAACCATTTTCTAAGACTTCAGTTGATGAATGTGATGTCGTTTCTTTAAGGCATCAGGGTTGCAACTAGAGCAATTACAACTGATGTAGTTCTTATGCAGCCACTACTTGTGTCACCTATTTGTCGGTATTTACTGACCACCCAGGAGGTGCAGGCCACAAACCCAGCAGGCCACAACCCAGCAGCAGGCAGGCTTGCACATAGAGACCTCTGCAGGGTGAGAGAAGCAGTCTGCTCTCTGAGATGAACTGACTCTTCATTAAGAGTCATCCTTTGGGCTGGGGATTTAGCTCAGCGGCATTAGCACCTGCCTTGCAAACAGGCGGTAGTGAGTTCGATCCCTGGTACCGATAAAAAAAAAAAAAGCCAAAAAAAAAAAAAAGTCATCTATGAATTTTTTTTTTGGTACTGGGAATCGAACTTAGGACTTCAAGCGTGCCAGGCAGGCACTGCACCACTGAACTAAATCCCTGGCCCTTTTTTGCTTTTTTGAAACAGGGTCTAGTAGGTAGCTCAGGCTACCCTTGAACTCACTATGTTGCCCAGGGTGATCTTGAACTTGTAGCAATTTTCCTGCCTCAGCCTCCCAAGTGCTGGGAATACAGGTGTGCACCACCACTCCTAGCTTCCTTCACCCATTTAAAAAAATGTCTTAGGGGGTTGTAGCCCAGTGGTAAAGTGTTTGCTTACTTATCACGTATAAGGTCTCAGTTCAATCCCCAGCAAATCCTCCCCAAATAAATTTTAAAATTTATTTTTTAAAATTTTATTTACTTTTTATAGTAAAAAAAAAGCTGTCATTAAAGCTGACCATCTTAATTTTAAGTACATTGTTCAAGTAGTATCAACTGCATTCACTCTGCTACATAACAGATGTTCAGAACTTTGTCACTTTGCAAAACTGAAACTCTATTCCCACTAAATCTCCCTCTCACCCCCATGCCCCTAGTCCCTGGCAACCACCTGTTCATTTCTGTTTCCTCCGTTCTGATTCCTCTGGCCACAGCTCCAGCAGTGGAATCATACACTACTGTCCTGTGATTGGCTTACTGCACATTACATAATGTCCCCAAGGCTCAGCTGCTATGCGTCCTGTGACAGGACTGGGCTCTTTCCTAAACAGGACCTCTTTTTCACAAGGATGCATGCGCTCTTTGTCTACACCCACTCGCCTGTCGACAGTCACACGGATCACTTCCCACTCCTGCCTACTGTGAATAACCCTGAGCCGAGCACGGGCGTGCCAACAGCTGAGTCCCTGCCCTGAGTGCCTGTGCGATCGACCCGGAAGCAGCCCTTCTACATCTTCGTTTCATTCTACACGAATCCATTGTGGGGGTGTCCATATTGTTCTTCATAATGGCTGTAACATTTTACATTCCCAAACCCAGTGGAAGGTTTCTAATCTCTCTACACCCTTGTTAACATGTTAGGCTGGCCTTAAGCTCACACTGTAACCCAGGTTGGTCTCCAACTCACAGTGATACTTGTGTCTCAGCCTCCTGAGCGTGTGCCACCACACCTGGCTGCTAATACTTTTCTTCCAGTTCATATTTTTTTAATCTTAATTTTAAAAATAAGGTCCTTTTTGTATGTTTGTTTGTTTTTGAGGCAGTCTCCATATGCAGTGCAGGCTGACCTTCAACTCACTGTGAACTCGTGGTGATCCTCCTGCCTCAGCCTCCTGAGCTCTGGAACTACAGGTGTGTGCTACCATGCCCAGCTAAAATGAGGTCCCTTAAAGTACAAGCTTTTAAATTTTGATGAATTCTAATTTAGCAATTCTTTTTCTTTTGTGGACTGTGTTTTTGTATTATATCTAACACCTCTGCCTAATGTCACAAAGATTTTCCTCTAAAAGCTGCATAATTTAGTTCTTGTATTTAAGGGCTTTGACTACTACCCTTTTTTTAAGTTAATTTCCCTACTGAATTACTTTGGTACCTCTGTCAAATAACAATTGCTCATAAATATAATGGTTTATTTCTGGTCTTTTAATTCTATTTCACTTATCTGTATGCCCTATCTTTATGCCAGAACTAGTTCTCTCTTTCTCTTCTTTGTGTGTATGTCTTCTTGAGACAGGGTCTCACTGTGTTCAATCTGACCCTGAACTCCCTGTTCAGCCTGGACTGACCTTGAACTCATGGATTCTCCTGCCTCAGGCTCCCAAATGCTGGGATTATAGGTATGCAGCACCACACCCAGCTGGAAAATTTTTCATAATAAAAACATTAAATAAGGCAGCAGTCTAAGCTGGGCACGGGGGTGCATGGTTCTCAGCAACCCAGGAGCCAAAAGCATCACACGTGGGCCGGGCAGTTGAGACCAACACAGGTGCCACAACCAGACATCCCCAGCTCAGCTGTCAGGCCATGGCCTTCTTCTTAGAGACTTTAAGTATTAACAATGTGCCTTAAAATAATGTGTTAAGATTTACAAACTCAACATTGGTAATGTACTCACCAGTAATTGCCCCATTCGATCATGGTTCCTGGCTGAAAAGAGATTTAGATTTAGATTTGTTAGTCTGTTTGTGATAAAATATACAAACAGGAATAAAGACATGATTATATGCTGTTTGCCTATCTCAAATGGGAGCATCACTTCACGGCTTCATGCATGAAGACAACATATATATACATAGTGGCAAGAGTTTTTAACCACGGTTAAAAATGGTTATCAAAGCCATAGTAGGCCAGAGGTGGTCACTCATGCTGTAATCCCAAGGCTTTGGGAGGCTGAGGCAGAAAGATTCAAGTTTAAGCCCAGCATGGGCAACTGAGTGACTTGGTAATATCCTGTCTCAAATAAAAGGGCTGAGGATGGAGCTGATTGCCAAGGTATGGGTTCAACTTGCCCCACAAAAAACTCCAAACCAATTTAGGAGCACCAAAGGTCATCACTCCACCTTTCGCCCTTCAGTCTACTGCACGTGTCACTTTTAAGGATGCTGTTGTTCCACTGTCACAGTATTTATGAGCTGCTCAGATTCAACTGTGGTAGGTTCTATAAACTGTGCCCAGCCCTACACTTGAGGTCTTTCTTCTTAAAAATGTAAGTTAGCAAAAACAAAACCAAAAAAATAATAATAATAAACATGTGTAACAGCATAAAGACAAAAGAGCTTAGCAAAGAGAAGGAGTAAGGAAAAACGGAAAGGAAGGGAGAACTGAACAGCGAGGAGACGTCACACCTTAGTAGACGGCTAAGCGTACAGAGCTGACTGACCGTGCGCTCGAGCTCTGTAGTCGGCGTGACGCCCTGCCTGTACTCTGTCACAGGTGAGGGCATAGCTCACTCGCATTCCATACTTACTCGGAGCTGGTAAGACCTGAGTTCATAGATGTTAGGCCCCGAGCGGGGGACAGGCTCATTCCAGAAGCTGAACTCCAGAAGCAGCTGATTCCTCCTGGAGAGAAGCATGTTGCTTCTTGCCTTACGGAAATCTGCAAATTCCTTTCGGTGAAACAAAATGGGCTTATGAGATCTTTCGGCACTTACATAAATGTACTTTAGTACTGACTATGTTCCCACAGTAACACGATTAGAAATGGAGTAATCAGCATAACCCACCTGGCCTGCGACCATCGTTTCTGTCTATCAAAATGGTGTAGTGACTTACGCTGCCTTCTGCTCTCTACGGTCCAGGCTGGTGGGTCGGTCTGTCTGTCTGTTTTGGTTTCTGAGACAGGGTCTCACTCTGTAACTCAAGCTGGCCTGCGACTATGCAGCCTAGGCTGGCCTCAAACTCGCAGCTACCTTCCTGCCTCAGCCTCCCAAGCTCTAGGATCACCACTGTCCAGCTTTGGATGACAAACTGCATGGTTATACTAAATATTTAAATAATACAGTAGCCACAATTAGTTTTCTCTATTTTTGGATTTTCCTAGCATATACATGGAAGTAACACGATGATTATAAACAGTAGATAACTTAAAAGATATTTATATTGGTCCGGGAGCCAACATGAAAGATTTGCTTTTGTAATGCTATCTGGCTGCTACAATTCCCATTAGCAGCTCGGCACTGTGGCACTCTGGGAGGCTGAGCCAGGGGGATCACAAGTTCAAATCCAGCTTGGGCAATTTAATAGGACTTTGCCTCAAAAACAAACAAATAAGAGCTGGGGACACAGCTCAGTGGCATAAGCGCCTGCTGGCAAGTGCAAGGTCCTGAGTTCAATTATTCCCCACACCAAAAAAAAAAACAACAAAAAAACCCCAAATAAATAAAAGGAGGTGGCACTGGGGAGATAGTTCAGCGTGAAGGCCCTGGGCTCAACTGCCAGTACAGCAACAAACAAAACTACCAACCTGAACCTATCCCAAAAAGGTGAGGAGGCAGGACAGCAAAGTTAGTATCTGATAAAGAACAAATACGTGACTAACAGTTCCTAAAACAGACCTGTCCAGCATTAAGCAACCCAGGCTGTGTCTACCATGCTGACTTTCCATTTTCAAAGTATAAAAGACTTTTACAATAAGGACTGCTATTTTAATAATATTACAATGGTCAGTTTATGTTTAAATGGAACATGAGAGTCCAAATGATAATATTTCTATGACCAAAACTGAAGAATTTACTGACAGGAACTGATGACAGGAAAGTCACTGAACTCCTGTGTCTATGCCAATTGTGTACAAAGTTTTTCAAAATCTTACCCGATTTCCTCTGAGTTTGCTCATGACCTCCATGAGGGCTGGATAGCCTCCCTCGTATCTCCAAAGGTGCACTGGAAAGCATTTTGAAAGACAGGATACATTTAGAGACTCGTGACCCTTTTATCTGACAGGTATGATGTGAACAGAGCACAAAATGTGCCCCAAATTGGCTTACACTGTAAAGTTCACATAACAGCCTCAAACACAGAAAACAGTTAAAAAGTAGGCTTTGGAGTAAACTGTTGAAAAAGCTACTTCAACCATAAATGGCTGAAATATATATGGGCAGTTTTGATTATAAAAACAAACATTAATTAGAAAATCATTTAAATGATTACAAAAGTGTCTAAGGAAGACGCATTTGTTCCAAAGACTTCTGCTTCCTACCCGCTTGATCCTGCTCGCCATACCACGTGTTCCAAGTCCCCACCAAAGTGCAAGGGTAATGTTTATCTTCATGGATCTTTGGCAACACCTCTTGACTTAAAGAGAAGAAACAGCAACACTAATTAAACAACCAAGGAAACTTCCGAGTGGACAACATGTAAGCAGCGACCCTAGGAATAGGGACACCTGTTCTGAGTGGCAACTCACCTACGAACTATTTCTCATTAAATGAACTGCGGAGCTAAGCTTCAGGCTGAATTCTGCTGTAATCTAACACTTTGCTTATCAGAAACTTTCTCTCTAATCACAACCATCTAGAAGAGTTGTAAGCAATTCCAATACAAAGATGATGAAAAAAGGGTCAAAGGTCCCAAGATTAAAGAAGCTATGCGTCTACAATTTCCATTTCAGGCAAAAAAACTACAAATTTGTTTTGTTTAGTTTTTTGGTACATGTGAGAGATGGAACTCACAACCTCGTGCTTTACCAGGCAAGTGCTGGAGCCTAAAACCTCAGCCCTGAAATTGTTTTAAGGAAGGAGGATAATTAGCTAGGGACGTGACGTTTACAAAAGTAGATTCTGCTGATTCTGAAGATTAAAAGAATAAGAGACATGGGGAAAGCAGAAAAGGCCACAGATGAGGGAAGAGAGCACCGCTGGTGCAGCAGCAGCTGAGGTAAGAGGAACAGAGGACGAGGAGGAAGGAGACAGGACCAGGCCCAGGCCAGGACAGCACAGAGTGTGCTCGCACCCCAACCTCTCAGAGTCCCAAGGGTGGCACTGTGACTCAGCCACATACAAGAATCAATAAAGACACACATGAAGGCAAAGTCAGCTTCTACGCAAGCCAACTGGCTGAGCGATTCCAGAGAGCTATGCAGTCCTCAAACACACGGCCGCATCATGGCCCTCGGCTGCATGGGAACAGGGGCACAGCCACTGCAGGGCCACGTGTAAGTGTGACAGAGGGGCGGCATTAGTGCTCAGTTCCATGGACACTTACTTTTGGTCTAGAGTCTAATGTTTGGGGTCAGCAAATAGGCGTGGCTACTCTGTATCAGGAGGAAACCTCAGACCTGTAAGCTTTTTAGTTTTGTTTTGTTTTTGTCTTTTTAAGACAGAGTCTCGCTATATGGTTCAGGGTGGTTTTGAGCTCACTTTTTGCCCAGGCTGATCTCGAACTTGTAAAGATCCTCCTGCCTCAGCTTCCCAAGTGCTGGGATTACAGGTGTGCCACCATGCCCAGCTAGACCTGCACAATTTTTGAAAGGAAACACTGTGATGAAAATACAACATCTATTCAACAATGGATCCAAAAAAAGTTATGAAGGTCAGAGACAGAACCTGCTCAAATGATTTGCAGACAATGCATTATATCAGGCTGACGACCAGCACTAGACACTAGGGTACCATGATCAGGTCCACATGAAAAGGTGACGGCACTACTCCTGGGTCTAACTGAAAATTCCTATCTTTTGTAACCATGTCTTTTAAAATGAAGACCCGACATTAAATGTATCCCCCTGTATAACCCAGGAGTCTTTAGAAAGAATGGAGATGGATGCAAACAGGTATGTTTGGAAGGTGAAAATGGGTTTCTTTTGGGCCACATGACATGAGCAGCTCTGAATCAGAGCAAATGTGTAAGACATCAGTACAAATGGTCTTGGTGGGGCCCACAAAGGCATAGAGAGTCTGACAGCAGGGCCCTGGCTTGTCACCAAGACCACTCATGTGAGGAGCTGGGGTCAATCCCAGCCAGTCCTCTCTACTAGGGTCCCCACATCTGCTCCTTCCAGCCCTGGCCTTACCTGAAAGGAGGTTGTAAGGCAGGCAGTACTTGTACCCAAAACTCGATGGGCTGGGCAGAATCTCATTATAAGGGTCCCTAAAAACCAAGAGGAGTTCAGTCTTTATGTTCTGGAAACAGAGCTGCTGAAAGCTTCAGAGGAAAGAGGAAACTGATAGGAAGCAAGTCAACCTGATCTGCTTTTGGATAAATGGGTTCCATGATGGGGTGGGGCTTGTCAGGCTTGGAGAGGGAGACAAGAGGGAATCCAAATACTGTCAGGTGAAGACTGTCCAACCTGTGGAGACCAGCTAATCACAAGGACTCGAGGAAAGGGCTAAGTAACACACAGACAGGGAAGTGGGTGAAGCAAGGTGATTCTAGGAGTTGAATTTAGAGTGAGAGCAGAACATTCAAATACAAATATGGACAGATAGCCAGAAATCTGAGACAGGAGATGAAATGATAAGAAGAAAAATAACCCAGGGAAGCATTAGCGTAGAGAAAACTTTCATTTCCTGAAAAAACACTAAGAAATAAGTATCTAATTTGTTTTAGGTCTTTTTTAACTGTTTACTTTGTTTTGTTTTTGAGACAGGGTCTCACTATGTAGCCAAGCTCTTCTCGAACTCAAAGTGATTCTTAGCCTCAGCCTCCCAAGTGCTGGCATTATAGGCATGTGCTATCATGCCCAGTTTGTTTTAGGTCATTTTTTTGTTTGTCTGTTTTAGGTCATTTTTAAGTAAAGTGGAATATGCCAAGGTAAGAAATTTTAGTCAAACATTACATTTGACAAAAACATCTCCACTAATAAAGCAATGAAACAAAAAAGGTTTTAGCTCATGAAATTTTGCTGACTCTATAGACAGACTCATCTACTTTTTCATGAAAGTAAAGATTAAAAAATAATTTCATTCTGTTTGCTCACAGCTGATCATTAAAACATTATTTTGTTAACTCAATTATGAAGTGATGAGTTAAATTCCCTTTTTAGTCTTTAATTTACCAATTTTACCAGAGGGCATCTCCTATCGTGTGACAACTGCCCCAAGAGACTGGGGTTCAGGGAAGGAAAGACTTAGGAGGAAAAGACAGCTACACCCAAATACACACCAGACTTCTATGTTTTACTTGGGAGGGACTATGAATTCTTTTTTTCTTTTTTGTTTTTATTGGTACCAGGAATCGAACTCACGACTGCCTACTTGCAAGGCAGGCGCTTATGCCGCTGAGCTAAACCCCTAGCCCTGGGACTATGAATTCTAAACCCTGACACTGAGCTGTTCAGAGACAGGACTCACGGGGTACAGGCAGACGTGGGCTGAAGGAAGGACTCAGGCACTGAGTGAGCAGATGAGCCAGATGGCTCTGCAAAGTTCTTCCAACCCAGAGAGCCCAGAGCCATTCTAAGAAGGTTTGACAGACTGGGAGGCAAGTTAGCTGTGTGAGAGCTTAAAATACAAACTGGCACTGGCAATACCACAGAGGCTCCATTTAAAAGCCTCTGAACACTCAACTTGAAGGAGATAAAAATCTCCTTAAAATTTAAAAATAAAAAAGTTTAAGTCACTGACTGACTCCCCAAGGAAAAGACAGTCTAGCATACACACCAAATTTTGTTGTATTCTTCTAGGCATTCCGGTTTAACATTGTGAACTGAAATAAAAGAAAATTCAACAATAAACTTATGAACAGACAAACAGAAGTCCACCAGGAAGGCAGCAAAATTGCTACTCACACTGTAACTTGTACAGACTGCTGGTCTCCTTTTTGGCTAGGAGATTAGAGTGGGCATCTTTTCTGGGATCAACCTTCCTGACAAACAAGGATTTTAACCAGCTGTCTTCTCGAGGTCTGTTACTGGAAGACGCCAATGTCCTAGGGAAGAGCAAATGCACTAATGTGAATTTCACAGGGAGGGCAGAGACTTCGGCGTCTTTAGGCAGAGTCAGAGGACCCTGCTTTTCTGAATCCACTGACCCGACTCAGCAAATGCTCACTGACCGCTTATTTCAGACAGAGTGGACACAGAACATCAGCTTTTTCACAGCACCACATGCCCAGAAGCAGAGAACAGTGTGCAGCAACCCGTGGCACCCCTCAGAACTCCCATGTTTATCGCTGCGGTCTGCGCCACTCTGGACATCTCTTTTGCCCAAAGCACAGAAGAAACACATCTGGATTAGACTAGCAGATTTCAGAGATGGAAGAAGGGCATTGGTTGCTGGGAGCTGAAGAAAGGAGGGAATGGGGAGTTACTGTTTAGTGGACAGCTTCAGTTTGGGAAGAGGAAAAACTACTGAACATGAATAGTAGTGGTGGTTATGCAAGGATATGAACACACTTAATGTCACTTAGACATGATTAAAACCATAAAACTTGCATTATGCAATGTTTTGTTTTTGAGGCAGGATCTTGCTATGTAATTCCTATTGGTCCTGAACTCATTATGTAACCTAAGTTGGCTTCAAACTTGCTGAGTTCCTCCTGCCTCAGCCTCCCTCTGCTGAGCTTGTAGGCATGGGCCACCCCCCAGCTGTTACGTACATTTTCCCATGATTTAAAAAAATATTTGATTTGGAAACAGTAGTAATGATTGCATCATCGTGATGGCAGCTAGTGTCTGTAAAATACACACTTAAAGTTGGTTAACGCCAGGATGTAGCTCAGTGGCACAGTGTCTGCCTGGCAAGCGTTAGGTCATGGGTTTGACTCCTGGTACCAACAAATAAATAAATAAAGCCAGTTAAAATCAGGCTGGCAAAAAAGCCTGGTGTGGTGGCTCATGTCTGTAATCCCATCACTCTTGGGAGGCCACGGCAGGAAGATCACCATGAGTATGAGGCCAGCGTGGGCTACATAAACAAGTTCAAGGCCAGCCTGTAATACAGTCTGCATTATATGGCAAGATCTTGTCTCAAAAGGTAGAGGGGGAGGCAGTGTTGGGGTGAATATCAGCAGTGAAGCATTTGCCCAGCATGTGGGAGGTCCTTACATGATTCCCAAGACCCCCTACGGATAAATTTGGCTAATTCAACAATCCATACTTTATCCATGGATTTTAAAGTGCTTGTTTAACTCATACATACACTTGCTAGTGAAAATGCAGACCTGTACATCTAGAGAGCAGTATGACACTTATTAAAATTGAAACCATGACATTTCGCCCAGTAACTACACTTGCAGTTTTACCCTGCAGGCATCTATATTTGGGTAAGTACACAGAGGGGAATGCACAAAAACATTCTTCATTGTCTTGTTTTCAGTTTTTCCTAATATAGGTAATCTGGATATCCACTAACACAGACTGGCTAACTAAATTAGGGAATGCCCACGGTGGAAACATGCACTGACACATCTGCATCTCTGAGATCAACTACGTGGGAGGAGCAGACACAGGAGGGAGTCACATACACAGAAAGCCAACTAAATAGTGATTACATCTGGGGACTGTGATTGGGCTTGGAGCAGTAGTGATGATTTTTTCTTTTTAATGCACTGATGCATCACGTGAAATGATTCTATATTATTTTTATAATTAAAAATTAGCTAAAATACCTAAAAAGTGCCTATTTTGAACTCTTTCTATAGGAAACCACTGAAAATAATACTTAGAAATTCAAAACTGGTCAAGATTCTCTCTTTTCTAACCTTACATAACCACGATCAAATAACAAACTGTTTCCTTATGTCTTCATTTCTGCTCAAACTTATATATAGTAAACCACACTTCTTTTTGTATACAGTCCTATAAGTTTTGACAAATACATAGAATCACTATAAAAAGATACTTCAATTTCCAAAATTCCTCTTTTTATAATCAGTCCTCTCCCCAACCATGACAGCCACTGCTCTGTTCTCCGTCCCTCTAGTTCTGCCCTTCCAGAATGTCCTGTCATATAGAAGGTAGCCTTGGGAACTCAAACCCCTTTTATAACCCCTGACCACCATCTCTGGCTGGAGTTAGTTAGTGTACTTTTCAGAGTTCTACTCTTTGACCCTTTTTCTGCCCTTTCCTAGACAGTAATGCACTGAGATTCCAAATGGCCAAGACATACACTCAGCCAGTGCTTCCAAAACAAAGTTGGGATGCCAGCAGGCCAGTGTAAACCCATTGCTGGGGATCTCTATAGAAACAGCGCATGGTTTTCAAAAGACTCATTATAATTTGTAGAGCAGACTCGCTCAAGGACACAGCCGTTGGCAGACAAATGTAGGCAAAAAAGAGAGTAACCTCAGAACAACTCTGGAGGAGGACCAGCACTTTAAACAGGCACAAAAAAAGACCGTGAAGGCAAATTCCCATTGCGTCAGGAGATGAACATTTAGAGTCTGCACTAGAAAATATAAATCCCTATTCTTATTCGACTCTGGTATTCTGGAAATAACAGTACCCTAAATTTCACATTGACATCTCCCCCTGCCAATAGTAACTAGCTGCTTTATTAAACAAATATTGCAATTTCTACCTCATAAGATGTTAATTAAAAAAAAAAAATTTTAGAGAGCAGGTGTGGTGGTGCACACTTATAATCCCAGCTACTCAGGAGGCAGAGATAGAGGGATCACAAGTTTGAGGCCAACTGTGGTAACTTAGGGAAACCCTGTCCCGAGACAAAAAAAATTTTTTTTCCTTTTTATCGGTACCGGGGATCGAACTCACGACCGCCTGCTTGCAAGGCAGGTGCTTATGCCGCTGAGCTAAATCCCCAGCCCCCAAGACAAAAATTTAAAAAGGGGGGCGGGTATAGCTCAGAGCAGAGCACTCGTGTAGCATTTCCAAAGCCCTGTGCTCTATTTCTAGCACCATAAAAACAATCAAACCAAAAACAATTCATGGGATATTATCTCAACTAGAAACCCAGATAAGATTTCTGAGTAATGTGAACTTACAAATACACAAACAAAATTGCCAATATAAAATTAGTCATGTTTCTTACAATGATCAAGAAACAAAACATTTTTGAATCCTTCAAAGATTAAAAAGCAGCAAACTCATACTAAATAGGCAAAATAATAAATTACTATCAATACAATACCAGTGCAAATTTCCTTATAAAGTGGACAGGGCTAAAACATACAGTCCTACCTGTAAAAGAAGGTGACCATTCTGTTTCCCTCGACTTACTGTCAAACTGCAGTCTTTTGAGTGTCAGCTATCAGTGACTACAGCTGCCTAACATGCCCAGCACATCCAGTCATTTAACCAAATCATGCAAGGATTCCACAGAATCCGTGGACTCTATGGAGGCAGCTATGCCAACAGCTGCCAGTGATAAGATCCGGCAAGGCCTGGGTTCTTACTGACAGTGGTAATCACCAAGTTCAGGAGTTTGGGTGGTACATCAGAAGGGGCAGAGAGAAGCACATCCTACCACATGCTAGACTTCAACAGACTGAGCACAGTGTGTGCTGGCTCTGTGGGCGTTAAACTGGGTCATACACTGCGCTTGCTCACTCTCGTGAGGGACCCGTCAGTACACACCAGGGGGACCCCAGGTATTGTAGGAGCAGAAGCACACAGTACAGGAGCTCAAGGGAATGGACCGCCAGCATGCAAATGCATCTGGGGTGAGGGACTCCAGTGGAGACCTTCCCACTCTGTCCTGGAAGACAAGCAAGGCAGGTGACAAGCCCAGTCAAGGGCAACATGTACATGGGTGATCGAACCTTGTGATGAATGTTTAAATAAAAAATAAATTATAGTAAAACACTGCCATTTATCCCCCTCAAAATATTCCCCCTCGTTTCAAACATCCATCCTACTTTTGGAAGCAATTCTGGAAGTCTTTTTTAGTGTCTTTATGAGGTGTGGTGAATGCTGCCGCCGAGTGCCATCCAATGGAAAAGCAGGCTGGAAAAAAACACGACACTGAGTCCTTGTCCACCTCCTTCACCAGATCTGACACCCTGTGGCCTCTGGCTCTTTCCCCAAGGCAAAACGACCCTGAAAGGGAAACATTTTGAATGGATTCAGGATAGCAGAGGAGGCAGCCACAGCACAACTAGAAGCAGCAGGCTTCCAGAACAGACCATGAAGGGTTCCACTAAGCAGGAGCACAAGGAGAGGGGATGCATAAGCCGTGAGGGGAGGCGGAGTGGGGCAGGGAGGTCAGGCTCTCGTGCACCATGCCTACTTGCTGCTCTTCATCCTGGATAAGGTGTAATGTCAGTAAGTTTTCAAAAGAAGTATAGAAACCAGCCTGGCAGTGGTGTGGCAGATACCAGCAGCAATATGGGGAGGGTGCTGGGCTCCCCAGCACTGGTACAAGGGGGCTCCAAATGAACACTCACTGGATGTGTCAACAGAGGACCTGGGCAAGGAGGACCATAGCAGCAAGAAGGGAAAGAAGCCCTTCTGGAGTGAGGAGAGGAACAGGTCCCCATGTGTGTGGGGGGGTATCACAATGGGGCCACAGCATGCATCTGATCCTCAAATATTTACTGACCACGCCCAGCATGGGCCAGGCACTGGGCCAAGCTGAGGACACAAAGATGAGCAAACTCAAGCCTGCCTTCCAAGAGCTCAATTCACTGGTGGGGGCAGAGACAACACATCCCAGTCCCATGTGAGACACAAGGTGGCAGCTGTGCGGGAGGCCACGGAGTCTGTCAGTCCAGAGAAGAAACCCAACAGCTAGTGAAGCAGCAGCAGCACACAGCTGGGCTGAAGACTCGCAAGCCAAGGAGCAGTCTGTCAGGTCCTCCACGACACCACTGCTGGCTGATCTGTCATTGTGCTTAACCTCTAAAACAGTATTGGCACAGTTGATACTCTTCTAGAAATACCCCTGCCAGCAGCTGTTATCTAACAGTGACCTTGCTGGATGCTACTTCTGGTTGACACTGAAGGTCCCCCTCTTCTGTCCACCCTGTAAATGTTATGTTGGCCCATCTCAGGGCTTGTTTCTCAGCCTCTTCCCTATCCACATTCTCTCCTCCAGTGATCTCACCCACTCCTAGACCATGCAAGGACTGAGTCTACTGTAACTGAGCCAAAATAAACCTCTCTTCCTCTAAAAAAGTGTAACAAAAAAAAAAAAAAAAAAGAAAGAAAGAAAAGAAAGGAAGAAACCAGTGTAATGAAAGAAATCTCTCAAAAAAAAAAAAAATCCAAAGAAACAAACAATATAAAGCAAAACAGTGTAACCCCCATCTCTCATTATGTACCAGGATCTCTGCCTACATGCTGACATCCCCCACATGCTGCCCGAAGCCCAGACACTTTGGGGAGGCACAGCCAACTGCCAATTTTGTTCATCCAAATAAACATTATGCAGCCATCTGAAACTTTACAAGGTTCTAATCTGCTCTGGACCCTTCCCCTCCTCCACTATAACTGTTTGGATCAAGATTGTCCCTAAAGGCCTCATGTACTCCTAGTGACTGAGTTATGGGGGCGAGGCTGCAGCTGACGTGCTGTCAGGTAGTCACTGGGGTGTAATCTGGAGGGGGTATCACCCTCTCTCTGGTTCCTTCCTTCTCACTGCTTCCTGGCTGCCACAACAGGAACAACTGTCCCCTGGCCAGGTCCCTCCTCTGTGCCACTTCTGCCCAAAGCCAGCCCACCATGCAAGGTCTGAGTCTACTGTACCTAAGCCAAAATAAACCTCTCCTTCTTTAAGCTGTGGGTGCCAGATATCTTTGTCTCAGAGACAAAGAAAGGGACTAAGATATTCACTGCTATTTACCCAGCCAACAGTGGCTGCCATATGGTGGACATTTATATACTTAAGGAACAAAGGAGTCTTGGGGGCACCAACACCCACTCACTTGGCCATTACCCATAATTCTCCCCTCTCTTCAAAGTCCACTGATTTTTTTAAACACAAAGATCACATCAAGTCCACCAGAGACTTTTACTTTTAAGGATCTTCCCCCATTCTCAGCATAAATATCCAAGCTATGACTGTCTGCAAAGTTGGGATTACCTGGCTTATGTTCCTTACTCCCTCTCTTTTAGCAGCCTCCCCTGCCCACCTGTATTCCAGGCCCTTACACTTTTCCCGGCTTTCTCCTGCTATCTGACTGTCTCCTACTCAAGATGGTCTCACATACCCCTCAGGTCTCACCTTAATGTAACTTTCTTGGGAGAGGCTTACATGAGGTTATGTAGGGTTCCCAAGTATCTGATCTGTTAAGTTTATGTGCATTTTATCTCTGTCATAACTTTCTAGAGATAATGACCATGGCTATTAAGCCTGGTTTCATGGGGCTTCAAGTACATATTACACCTTCAATATTGGGTAGAATTGGTGAATTCATCAGTCGTTGAGTCCGAGAGAATACCTACATTAAGGTTGATAGGAGGCCAGCAAGCAATAATCAGAAGGAGCTGAGAGGGGATCAAAGAACAAAGAGGTCCAGAGAGTTGAGTTCAGCATCAACAATATATGGCCCCATTAGGAAGTAATGGTATAGGGTTCCATCTCCACGATTCTACAGTGCACGTCCTACTTCTTAAGATTGCTACTACAGCTGAGTGTGGTGGCCGTATCTGTTATTTCAGCATTCTAGCGGGCTGAGGCAAGAGGATGGCAGGTTCTCAGAAATTTAAGATTAGGGAAATCTAACAATTTAAGGAGACCTGATCACAAAATAAATTAAAAAGGGGTTTGGATGTCATATCCAGAGCTGGGGTTCAATCCTCAGTACTGTCAGCAAAATAAAGCAAAAACAGAAGTCACCTAGGATTAAATATAATACACTGTACCATATTAAGTTATCTGGACCACGGTAAGAGTTTAATACTGGGTTCTATCCTCAGATGCACCCCACAAGAGGAATCAACAGTGCTTTTGCTCTGCTTACGTGTCAACTACTGGGTATTTTCAGAGGCTCATTAACGCACCACCACCCCTAGAAAGACACCATTTACACTGCCCAAAAGTAGAAGGAAAAAAAGAGTAAATGAAGATGGGCTTTGGTTATGAATGTAGCCACGTCAACGTGATGAATTCAGACAACTGAGCCTCTACTCCAATGAGCTTACAAGAAAAGTTTAAACACGAGCGCAGGACTCCTGAGCGCCCGGAACTCGAAGCCTTCACATCCACGGTCTGCTTCACCGCGAGTCGGACACAGGTGGAGCGAGTCATCCTCACCGCCCCCGCGCCCCCAGTCTCCTCGGCGCAGGCACCCCGGCAACCGCGCGTTATTTTATGCCTCTTTCACAGCACCCCGCGAGGCGCGCGCACGAGTCCCTTCGCCGGCGGCCCGGGCGCGTCCCCGCGAGGCGGCGCCGTGACCTTGACGGCCTGGCGCCGGGGACTCCGACCCGCCAGGCTCCTGCCCGCCGCGACCCCGCCGCCCTGAGAGCTGTGGGCGCGCAGCGGAGGCCCGGCCCGAGCACCCGCGCCCCGCCGCGGCCCCTCCCCGGCCGCCCCGGAAAGGGCGGTGCTGCTCACCGGAGTCCGGGCAGGAGGCCGCAGGGGGCGGCCGGCCGCAGGAGGCCTCGGGCCGCGGCTGCTCCTCGGGCGCACAGCACTTGCGTCGCCATCTTGCTCCGGAGCCCCGGCTCCCCCGCCCCCTCCTCGGCCCGGCGCCGCCGTGACGCCGCGACCCCTCCCCCGGCCGGGCTGGGGGCAGGCCGGGCTCAGGAGGTGGGGGCGAGGCGGGGCGGGGGCGGGGTCTGGCAGCGTGGGCGGGGAGCCGGAGCGCGCGGCGCGAGCTGCGTCTTGCGCGCTCTCGCAAATAGGGCTCGGCGGGAGCTCGGTAAGCGGAGAGAATCGCTCGCGGCTTCCGCGTCTTGTACAAATCCACGAAGGCGGAGCACCGCGGCCAGGGGACTGTAGGCCCAGGGTTGAGGAGGGAAGCGATATTTAGGGCTCTCTCTAAATATCTTGGCTTTTGTACTTCGTGCTACTTGAATGTACAGTAGTCGTACCTTGGTACTTGGCTGCCTTGAAACTCTTTGAATCTGTTTCTTGATCCTTTTGTTTTTGCCACTTGGTTGTTCAGGCTGGCCTTGAACTCTCTGGCTTCAAACTAGCAGTAGTCGTCCTGCTTCAGCCCCCAGAGCTAGGTTTAAAGGAATGCACCGCTACACGCGGCTTTGATGCTTTTTTTTTTTTTTTTTTTTTTTGAGACAGGGTCTCGCTATGCAGTTCCGGCTGGCCTTGAACTCACTTTGTGGCCTCTAACTTGCAACAGTCATCCTGCCTCAGCCTCGTGAGTGCTGAGATTACAGGCATGCACCACCCCGCACGGATTTTGATGCATTTTTGACCCTAAAATTTTGTCCCAGTACTCGAGGCTTGTTGGGTGCTTTAAACGCAAGTTAAGACCTGATGTCACTCACCACTCTTTCCAACCTAATTTGTTTGGTACTCGTCACCTCCCAGAACTAGTTGTGCTCCGGTAAGCTGTACAGTGGTACCTTGGTTCACGAACTCTTATTGTTCCACGACTGTGGGAGAATTGGCCACGTTGTTGAGGAAAAATGGTAGCCATCTTGTCACCCAATGTAGATTTTGCAGACAAGAATGATGCCAAATACTTTTGTTTTGAGAAATCGTTTGCAAATAAAAGCGTTGGTGAACGGAAGTGCAACTGCATTGCCATTTCAAAAACATAACTCTTCAACGGGACATGGTGGCACACGGCTGTAAGCCCAACACTCAGCAGGCTGAGGCAGGAGTTTCCAGTCCAATCCAGGAATTTAACGACTTAGCAAGTTAGTGTCTCAAAATAAAAAGTAAAAAAGCACCGGGGATGCACCTTAGTGCAAAATCCTGGATTCAATCCTCAGTGATGGAAAAAACAAAGTCATATGCAAGCCTGCTGGCCTTCTTAGCTAGGGACTACATTGTCCTGATTCCTGCTAGCATGTGTCAGTCCCGAGTAACTATCCTTAGGCCAGTCCAGGCTACTGGGTACAGGGTGTGAAAGGATGATTAGTTCCTGTAGGTCAAGTGCTGAAAGGGACAGCATTGCATAAGGGGGTGGAGGGCTGTGAGGTGGAGGAGATGCCAGAAAAATTCCTAGATCAGTTTTCAAGGGGTCTATCTCCCCAAAACAGATGCATTTCTGGCAGAAGAAACAACTTCCACAAAGGCTTGGGTATGGAGGATACTGTGAAAGAGGTGTTCTGCTCTGATTGTCACTGAGTATAAAAAAAAAAAAAAAAAAGAGGTGCTCTGTAGGAAGGTGAAGGTCCCACATGTGTAACCTTGAAGACTTCAAGGAAACCAGGCGAGAGGCACAGGCTCTAGCCACGAAGGAAAGCATTTCAGGGAGGCTTGAGGAGGCCGAGAGACAAGGCTAGGAGGTTGTCATTGTGGGGGTGAGGGGAGGGGAGGGCGCAAAGGCTGGGCAGTGGCCCATGGAGTTCTGAGGCTGTAACTCGGAGTCAGAGCCTCAGGGCAGCAGAATCTGTTCAATCTTCTCCTCACTGGGACATAACACCCAACACCCACAATTCTAGGGAGGAGAGGCTTATTTGGCTCAAGTTTCAGTTCCTAGTGGGCTTAGCTCCAACGCAGCTCTGCTCACCTTGTCAGCGGAAGCAGAGCCAGCCAAGGGCAGATGGGGCAGGGAGAGTCTCTTCCAGGTTGAAGCTGTTTCTTCTACCAGAAATGTTCCTGTTTCCGGGAACTGACTCCTTAAAAACTGAGCTAGGGATTTTTTTGACATCTCTGGTACCTTCATGCCCCTAGGCCACACCCAGGGTCTATCTCTGAGCTAAAGTCGCCAGCCTTGGACCCACTGAAGGAATTATCTGATGGTAAATGATAAGGAACCATGGGAAAAGACAGGAACGGGGACATCAGGGCAACAAGAATTTCCCCATGGGGAGAGGTCTTGCCCCTTGGAGCCTGAGAGGTGCAGCCAAAGGTCCAGAGGTTGAGCTGGGAGTTCCCTAATTCAGCTTACACACACTTAATACCTTGAAGTAACATGGACCCAGAAAGAAGGCAGAAGTGAGCTCTCCCTGGGAAAGGACGTGTCCCTGACCTCCAGAATAGGAGGTAGGGCCTTCTCAAGAGTACATGAGACCCCCATTCTTGTGCATAGATTTTCTCAACTTTTTCCACTTTATTTCAAGACAAATATTTTCTCCTGGGATGTAAACTTGGTAGCTAGACATTTCTTTTTCCTCCAGTACTGGGAATTGAACCCAGGGTCTTACTGCATTAGATCCCCAGCTGTTGGTATTTTTTTTGAGTCAGAATCTTATAAGTTCACCAGCTTTGAACTTCTCATCCTGCTTCGGCCTCCTGAGTAGGGTAGTGAGACATTTCTTTGCCAATCTCTTTTCTTGTGTTTGGTGTTAGGCCATTTATTGTGCACTCCCTCACTATCATTTTGCTCTGAAATTTCATTAATCCAGTGCTTCTTTTTTTATGGCAAAGGAATGAGAGGGGTTTATTTCACATAAACTTAGCAACTTGCAGTGGCTATGTCTGTGCACAAGTAAATCCCAGGACTTGGGAGGCCAGCGTGACCTACATACTGAGACTGGGTCTCAAACAAAACAAACCCCTAAACAATGAGGCAGGAGGATCAATGAGTGCAAGGCCAGCCTGAACTACAGAGAAACCCTATCTCAAAGAAAAGCAAATAAATAAGCATAGCAACTTCCTGAAGCATTTTTACCCAAAAATTTCCAGGAATTCTATTTTCTCAATGCTATGCCTCTCATTTGCTGGGGAAGTACACTACACCTGTAACCCAGAAAAAATGTTTAAATGAAAATGCTACGTTACAGGGTGCATGTAAACTTTAAAAAAAGATTTTTTTTTTTTTGGAGGCAAGGTGTTGCTATGTATTCCAGGCCGACACTGAACTCTCTATCCTCCTGTCTCAGTTTCCAAGTGCTGGGATTGCAGGTGTGGGCCACTGTGCCACATAGTCCTTTAAAATGTTTTCGAGGTGGCTTGGACTCTGTCTCAGAGCCTTGGTACAGATGTCCTGTCATTGAGAGCACCCCTTGAGAAGCACTACCAGGCTGAGGAGTGCTACTCAGCCCCACCCAGCAGAGACCTACACACTAAGAAGCTTCCTTCTGGTTCACCCAGCTTGGCACCTGTAGGGAGCCGAGTGACAGGCATTGTTGCCTAGATGTCTCTCTCTCTCTCTCTTATGGGCACTGTGTCTGTCTATATTAACCATAATCCTCTTTTGCTTACGTCACTTATCCTGATGTGATGGTAACCCTGTTGTATTTATCTGTTTAACCTCTTCCTGTCCCAGCTCCCGCCCTTAGCCTATAAAAGGTGTGATTATTTTCTCAATAAACCGGAAAAGGTCAGGAAAGTGGAGGCTGCTACAAGACCTTAGGGCGATAAATAAGACAATGGTCTTAATGGGGCCCCTACAACCAGGCCTCCCCTCACTCAGTGCCATTCCTTTGGGATTTTTTAAAATTGTCATAGATCTTAAAGATTGCTTTTCTCTATTCCTTTACACTTCATGACTTCCAAAAACTATTGGGAGATATTAATTGGCTCATACCATTTTTAAAACTAACTAAACATGATTTACAGCCCCTTTATGCGCTGCTTCGGGGAGACATAGATCCAACTTCCCCCCGAGAGCTTACACCTGATGCCAGGAGAGCGCTCAGTAAAATAAAAGAGGTTATTGCTCAACAAACTGTTTCCTTTATGGACTACAATGAGCCTTTACAGTTTCTCATTTTTAATACAAAGCTTTGCCCTACAGCAGTGTTCTGACAACAAGCTCCCCTCATGTGGGTCCATTTACCAGTCTCTCCAAAAAAAACACTTTTGCCTTATTTCCAAGCTGTCTCAGACCTAATAATCCAGGGTAAAAAGCAGAGAAAATGTTACTTTGGCAAAAAACCAGACATTATCATTCAACCTTTTACAAAAGACCAAATAGATTGGCTACTTCAGAGTACTGAAGTGTGGCCTATTGCCTTAGCTTTCTATTCAGAGACTATTGACAATCATTACCCTCCAAATAAGCTAGTTGACTTTGCTAATCGTCACTCATTTATATTCCCTAAAGTCACAGCTTCACAACCCCTTCCGGGTGCCCTGGTTTTATTCACTGATGGCTCATCCTCTGGAAGGGCTGCTTATATATCTCAAGACAATGTTTCTACCCTCCAGACAGATACTTCCTCTACACAATTAGCAGAGTTAAAAGCTATTCTTGCAGCTTTTGCTGCTTACTCTGACCAACCATTTAATTTGTATACTGACAGTGCTTATCTTGCCCAGTCTGTTCCATTATTAGAGACTGTTGCTACTATATGGCATGCTTCCCCAGCTGCAAATCTGTTCAAACAATTACAATGCTTCATACGGCTTCGCCGTCATAAGTTCTTTATCAGTCATCTGCGAGCTCATTCCAACCTCCCAGGGCCTCTTGCCCAAGGAAATCATTTGGCTGATGTTGCTGTACGAGCACAGGTTTTTATGGCTCAGGACTCCAAGGTGCCTGAGGCTCAACAAGCCCACCAGTTACACCACCTCAATGCTCACACCCTCCGCCTTCTCTACAAAATTACCCGTGAGCAAGCCAGACAAATTATAAAAAATTGCCCATCTTGTGCTATCCACTCACCTGTTCAACACCTAGGAGTCAACCCTAGAGGTTTAATTCCTAATGCCTTATGGCAAATAGATGTTACCCATTTCAATGAGTTTGGCAATCTAAAATATGTACATGTCATTATTGACACTTATAGTGGCTTCATTTTTGCCACTCTCCAGACTGAAAAAGCTGCTAAACACATTATAACCCATATGCTGTCAGCCTTCTCAGTTCTGAGATGTCCTCAACAGCTCAAGACCGATAATGGCCCTGGCTATACCAGCACCTCCTTTGCTCAATTTTGTAAAAGCCTTAATATCCTCCACACTACAGATATACCTTACAATCCTCAGGGACAAGACATTGTTAAACGTACACATCGTTCTCTTAAATTCACCATAGATAAAATAAAAAGGGAGACATGGCACCCCACCCAGGGGTCCCCTAGAAATGTCCTTTCACATGCTCTTTTTATTTTAAATTTTCTGACCCTGGATGCTTCAGGCTGCTCCGCAGCATCTCGGTTTTGGCATACTCAGACTCAAACACGGTTTACATCTGTTTTATGGAGAGACCCACTAACCAATGTGTGGAATGGCCCTGATCCAGTCCTTATCTGGGGACGAGGTTCAGTGTGTGTTTACTCTCAACAAGATAAAAAAGCTAGATGGCTACCTAAACGCCTCATAAAACAAGTAGACAGTTCTTCAAAGACCCCATATAACGCCCAAAAATAATGTTATTTCCTGAGGCACAATCCCCTGTGTTCTCTTACAGGTGACACATCTCCTTAGAGCCTTATGCTGCTTAACCAGCCTTCTTGAGCCACACCACACCCATGGTGGATTTTGACCCCTGCCAAACAGACTACAACTGCTGACAGCCATGCACAGAACCCCATGACTGCGGAAGAGGCTCTTCTCGGTCTGGAGGAACATACACCAGCCAAATAGACTGCATCCAGTGTTATACAAGGCATGCTCCAAGACACAAAAAAATGACTTCATACAGAGACACCAACAAATGGCTGTCAACCCCTTCTCCTTGATTTGGGGGGGGGAGTTTTTCCCTTACCTAGTCCCCCTTTTGGGTCCCCTAGCTGACCTATTGTTTCTCATTTCTGTGAGTCTTGTATTTTTCAGAGGATTATGATGTTCATTATTAACCGGATAGACGCATTTATGGCAAAGCCCATTCAGGTACACTATCATCAGCTGGAGTTGGCAGATCAACAAACCTACAGGGAAGGAATTCCCACGAGTGGCCCATATGATGATGCGGCCTGACTGCCCTGGGGCAATGGACAGGCAGTCAGAGACAAACAACTAAGACATGCATGTTAATTCCAACGGCCGCCTAAGACAGGCACAGGACCAACTGCTGTTCTGCAAGCCCATGACGGGTAAGGCCTGGTTGGGTTCATGCAATGAGGTCCTTGACCTAAGACAGACACTGTCCTCACAGGGCCTGCCATACTCTTAATTAAATAATATAAAAAGGGAGGAGATGTAGGGAGCCGAGTGACAGGCATTGCTGCCTAGATGTCTCTCTCTCTCTCTCCTATGGGCACTGCGTCTGCCTACATTAACCATAATCCTCTTCTGCTTACGTCACTTATCCTGATGTGATGGTAACCCTGTTGTATTCATCTGTTTAACCTCTTCCTGTCCCAGCTCCCGCCCTTAGCCTATAAAAGGTGTGATTATTTTCTCAATAAACCGGAGGCTTGATTGGGTTAACATCAACTTGCCTTCGTCTCTTTTTGTCTCCCCCATGTCTTTTGTTTAATCCCCGTTTCTCCTCCAGGAGTTCCAAACTTGTTGATCTACAGGCCGGATCAGGCACCCATCCAAGTTCTACTGCAAAGATAGCAGCCCACGTTCACTTGTAAACCAGAGGTAGGGCTGGGGATACAGCTCAGTGGCACAACCACCTGCCTGGCAAGCACGAGGTTTGAGTTGAAAACCAGTACCGAAAAACAAAAACAGATGTAAGGTCTGAGGACTTTTCTTATTCAACCCATTCTCTATACTGGTGCTCTTTAACTTTTATTGAAATGCAAATCTAATTCTATCATCTTTGAAAACTTGAATCCATTATCATTTATAGCACAGCACCTATTTCTGAGTTCCATCAGTGCTCCAGCAATTCCCTACCAGCTTTAGAACTCCTGGTTACATTCTCTCTCTGAGGACTTTATACTTTCTGAAATGCCTTCCCACATCCATTTTTTGCTAGTCTAGAGATGCGTCAAGATTCAGTTATGGCACTGGTCATCTCTCCTGGGAAGCTAATCTCTCCAGCACATGATTCTGTTTGCCACAAAGGTGCCTGTGCATAGCTCCCTACTCTGTGAGCCTATGACCAACGCCTGTGGGCATCACTGAAACAACTTTTACAATGTACACATTACCTGAAGTTCAAACCACTTCAAATCTCTCCAGGAGAGCCAGAAAACTGAAACATACAGCTCTGTGTTTCTTTGGGCCAAAATCTAAGTCATCACACTTTACTAACAAATAGCAACAAAACTCAGAAATCTCCAAATTGAAAGTATGAAAGTCCTATATCTTGGTGAAATGAGAGAGAAAAAAAGCTTATTTTGAATATATACCATCAAAAGTATTTACCAAATGTGGCCTTGTTTGTTTATATCAAAGATTTTCTTGCTCCAAAACAGAGGTTCTAAGGTGAATTCAATGCCATTGAATGAAAATACAGTAAAACAACATAACTTCTAAGATAGGAGAGCTTATAAAATAATGCAGATTGCTGGATACATTTAGTGTGGTGTGAAAGTATGTTCACTGAAAAAGCTGAAACATGGGGCTGGGGATTTAGCTCAGTGGCACAAGTACTTGTCTGGCAAGTGTGGAGTCATGAGTTCGAGCCCTGGTACCAAAAAAAAAAAAAAAAAAAAAAAATTAAAAAGCTGAAACATGACACAAAACCTTTATGAAAAATTGTAACAAGTCCTTTACTGTTTCATAAATGCTATGAGAGAATTTGACAGTTTGTAACAAAACTAGAAATCTTTCCCTTGTCTCCTTCTTCCAGGCTTCACTGTGTGGAAACAATGTTGAGTTCTTCCAGAGTTTTGCTGAGCTCAGTGGTTTCCGAACTGAGCGGACTCTCCAGGTAGGTGGTTCCTGCACAGAGCTTTCCTGTTACTGGATCTATGACTCTGCCCACCTTGAAGATGATCTCGGCCAGCTCATGTTTCACATGCTTTGTTCGTGGAACTGGTAAAGCTTTGAGAAGTACAATATCCCCAACAGTGCACTGCTGAAGGGCATCATGAGCAAAGTAGGTTTTTCGCTTATTAAAATACTGTTGGGAGAAGGAGAGGGACAAATTAGTAGTTTCCAGTCTTGACCAGGCAATACAGTATAGAATAAGAAAAAGTAATGGGCAGAAAACAAGCCAGGCCTTGGGAAAAAAAGATACTTAAGGAAACCTCTAGTATAAAACTTAACTGCTTAATTTTCGGAAAACAGCAATGATGCTGGGCATGGTGGCACACACCTGTAATTCCAGCACTCAGGAGGCTGAGGCAGGAGGATCATAGCAAGTTCAAGACTAGCTTGGGCTACAAAGTGAGCTCAAGGTCAGCTTGAAGTGCATAATGAAACACTGTCTCAAAAAGACAAAACAAAACCAAAAACCAGCAAAGACTTTTCCTAGAGTGGATCTCAGTCCTGAGCTCTCTAGTCCCTTCCCTGCAGTATGACTGATCTATCAATTGTCATCTGACCCTAAACACTTCCTGTCCATTGAAGCCTTCTCTCCAGCCTATGAGCATGCTCCATTCTCCATTAGCTGTGTAAGTCCATGCTGGGTTACTTCCCACCATATAAGTAGGCTCAAGAGAATTAACTGATACAGTGTACATAAAGCACAAAGCTCTATGCCTAGCTCAAAGAATTGCTAAGAACCCAGAGAGGGTAGCAAGAATCACCTTATTTTTCATAAGGCATTGCTGCATCTGGTTTTCCCATTTTACAGATGACACAACCAGGCTTACCAGGTTGAATTGTATATACAACTGATAAATAAAAGAGTCAGTGCTCAAAGAAAGACCTTCTAACGCCCATGACCAAACCATCACTCTAGTCATCATCACTCTTTGCTTACTTCTGTTTTTTTGCTAATTACTACTACCTGAGAGCCCAACCACAAATGCAGAAACCACCCTTGTTCATCTAACAAATCACTGACTCTGTGTCTTCTACCTGGAATCTATCTTTCCCCACTGTTTCCACACCTCTAACTTTAGTGCAGGTCCTTACCCTTTCCATCCTGGACTTTTGCGACACCTTCCTTACTGCTAGTGCTCATCCCTACCCCTGTGCCTCCAAGGTTTGTCTTTCCTTTAATTAACAGATGGAATCCAAAACACTAAAGACCCTTCACAGTCAGCTCCAGTTGTCTTTGCATTTATTCAACAACAGTGCCAAGCTCTGGGCCCATTCTTGCCAAACTCCTTGCTATTTTTGTAGCTTGCCATTCCCTATCCTGAGTAAGTGACATCTGGGTACCACTCATCAAAGCTGGAGTGACTGTTCTCTATCTAGTTCTCTGAATAAAATCTTAAGATTCAGCTCAAATTCTCCTAATCAAAGATGCTTTCTATGTCTGAAAGTCTCCTGTTTTTCTGGTCCACTGCGTTTTGCATGCAGCCTAAGTAGATCAGTTATCAAATTGCCTTAGAATCAACTCTGTTCCACAAATGCAGAAGTCACGTTATGCTCAAAGAAGAGGACAGTACCTGGCTCACCGCAGGTGGTCAACAACTCTTTACTGAAGGAGAAAGGTTTTTTGTGCTTAGAACCGAAAACATGTTTCGATGCCACTTGAAAACAGGTGCGTTCCTCACCTTTAGTAAGTAGGGATCCAGAACAAGTCTGGTCACTCTCACTTTAGCAGTTTTTTGCATTGCTGTACCAATTACCTTCCCCACGACCCATTTGGCATGCACAGATGAACGAACTACTGACATTCTGTGGCTCTGATCACCTGAAAAAAAAGTTCAATTTTTGATGGTTATTACTCGCCAAATGAATTTTGTCACCAAAATCGCTGAGGTTCTCAAATAGCTTCTGCTCTCTTTCTGGAATCACCATCTCAGAGATGTTTATATGTCCCTTTTGCCTTTGGAACCCAACTTCCATCTTTATAGCGTTGACCAAGCAGCAGCATTAATCTCTTTCAGACTTAGTTGCCTCCTCAGCAAAATGGGGCAACTCACAGCAACGTTCTGAAAACTCGATCGATAAGGCGCTCAACAGCGCAAATAAACGCTGGCTGAATTCTGTCCCTAATCTCCCCCCATACCCCAGGACGGCCTCCCCAAGCTTACACAGCCTGGCTACTCGCATCGGGGAAGACACAGGGCCGGAGACCTTCACGTGGGGCTGCTTTCAGGGTCGGAGACTACAGAGACCATCGCAGCCCCAGCCCTTGGGAGACCCGACTCGCTCCAGCGACTCATAAGTCCCTGCACCCCTGACAGTCAGACCTTGGGCCCTCGCTCACCTCAGGCTTCTAGTGCGCAACCGCAAAGGCAACGGAGCGGCGCCCGAGCGCTTGTGCGGCACACTGCACGCAGGCTCCGCCCACACGCGCCTCTTATTGGCTGCGCGGCCTCCTTGTGGTCAAAGGCGGACTCAGCCACATCTCCCCTAAAAGAGACCTGGGCCTCTGCCTGGAGGCGGAACTGTGCTCTGCGTATGCTTTCCCCGCGTGCACTGCGACAGGAGCCCAGGAGGTTCCGGCGATTTCCCTGATCACTTAGTGTCCTCTGAGGCATATTCACTCATGAAACATTGAAATTTTGGGTCCAGTTATGCAGGACGAATAACTTGTAATGTTCTGTTGCACTGTAAGGTAGCTATGGTTAACAACGTTAATTGCAAATGTCAAAATATGTAGTAGAGAAGATTTTGAACGTTCCCAAGGCAAACAGTAAATGACGTGATCTATATATTATTTATCTTGATGTGATCATTAGCCATAATATACAGATAGGGAAATGCCACTGTGCCTCATAAATCTTTTTGTCGTTTTTTCATATCCATTTTATTCAACGATAAAAAGCCCCATATATCGTACAATTGTAATTGTATTAATTAACTTTATTTTTGTCTTTTTCTTTCTTTTCTTTTCTTTTTTTTTTTTTTTTTTTTTTTGTCTTTTTAAGACAGAGTCTCACTATGTGATTCAGGCTGGCCTTGAGCTCACTTTTTAGCCCAGACTGGTCTCGAACTTGCAAAGATCCTCTTGCCTCAGCCTCCCGACTGCTAGGATTACAGGTGTGAGCCTGGCCTTTTTTTGTCTTTTTGATACAGGGTTTCACTATGCAGTTCAGGTTGGCCTTGAATTTGCACTGATGCTCCTGCCTCAGCCTCCTGAATGCTAGGATTGCAGGTGCGTGCTACCACGCCCAGCTAATAATAGTTTTAAAAAGTGAAATATTTAAATAACAAATTAAATTACAGTTTTTAAAATGAACATTTAAGCTTCCCAATGCTAGGGTTGGGCTGGGGGTGTAGATCAGCAGCACAGCACCTGGCTGGCAAGCACGAGGTCCTGAGTTTGGTTCCCATTACAAAAAAAACCCCAAACAACAACAAAAATCCCACCCCAAATTCTAGAGTAGAAATAGTCATTTTTATCCTCTGGAAATGTCCCTCCTAAAATGCACTCCCATCCCACCTGAGATTGGGCATCCAATACTTTTACACTTAGCCAACCAATTTTTGGGGAGGGTATGGGGAATCAAACTCAGGACCTTGTGCTTGTCAGGTAGGCATTTATGCTGCTATGCTATACCACTGGCCCCCCAACCTGTTTTTTATATTTTGAGAGAGGATCTTGCTGAGTCCCTAAATTCCCTAGGTGGGGCTTGAATTTGTGATCCTCAGGCCTCAGTCTCCTACAGTGCTGGGATTACAAGTGAGATGGGCTGTGAGCAGGGTGCTTGGGGATGCCTTCTCAGAGAGAAGACTGAGAGTATGTTAGGCTTTTGCTTTGAAATCGCTGAGAGGAATAGCAAACAATAGGGTATTGGAACAGACTATTTGAGGGCCAAAATGTAGGTGTGATCGATCTTTGACTATGGGGACACCTTGGTAACTGGTGAGGGAAGACTTGGAAAATAATTTATCCAAACATTAATTTGTCCCACATTCATTTATTTCTTAGCAAATATTTATGGAACACTTACTCTCAGATTCTGTGCTATGTGTTGGTGGCAAAAAGATGAACAAAAGTGTACCTTTGGGGGTCAGGGATTTAGCTCAGTGTTATAAGAGCTTGAGAGGTCGTTGAGTTTGATCCCCAGTATCAAAAAAAAAAAAAAAAAAGGCGGGGCACATTTGCTCTCAATAGACTCATGGGTCAGTAGGACAGGAGAGGAAGAAAAGATTATGAAACACAAGGCTTGAGAAAGAGGGGTTTAACTTTAGGGCTAGTGGGGACTAGAGCAGTAAATGCAATAATTCCCCCACCCCTTGGAGGCTTTTGGGCCAAAAGTGGGGCAAGGTGCTTTATATAGAGAAATACCTCAGACTGACCTGACGTGGGGCAGAGTGCTTAATTTTTATTAAAGTAACTTCCAGAATGCTACAGTTTAATCTTTGGGATGGAATGCAAAAGAAAAATATGACAATCTAGGTATAGCCTTAGTGAGAGTATCAGGAAATGGTGTTCATATGATGGTTTAAGACTCAGGAATGAGCCCAGTTTCTTTGTATGTTTTGGTCAACATCTAATGGGTGTAATGGTGCCTGAAAATATTTAGGATTCTGGCTTAGACTTGAGCTAGCAGGGAAGATCCTATTGCTGACTGGGTGACAGGATGGTCAAGGCACTCTGTGATGTTTGGTCAGGACACAGAAAGAAGATAGGGGGACCTGGCGAGCCTATAGAGGGACATAGGAAGGTTCTTGAGACAGAAAGCAGGCATGTGGAGGGTGCTGAGGTGGGAGTAGTACTGGGAGAGCGAGATACCACCATGGTGGGACAAGGATGAGAGAGCAGGCCAAGATGCAAAAATAAGCCCCACGTGCAGTAAACTCTGACCCTTTGTAGTCGGCGTACAGTAAGAAATGCCACCAGGAAAACTCATTATCCTTATAGCTTCACGTAGTCAACTTAAAATCACCAATTTGGAGGTCACACAACTAGGTGATACATCTTGAAATTCTCAGGTTTGTTGTAGATGATACCCTTGCTGTGTGGGCTATGATAACAAGTTACCTAGGTCATGTCCCAGGGAGTCTCAGGCCAATTTGCTGAGAACTAAGATGAAGTAAAGATTTGGCACCTCTATCTTCATGTTGTGTCTGTCCCCTTTGCTGTCAGAGAGACCCTGCTGATCATTTAGAAATGTTTTGTGCAAGAATGTGACAAGGTCAGCTTGATCTGTTACCTGTTGGAGCCGGGACGCATTTCTTCTCCCATACCCTGTGGCCTTTCAGCCACCGCAACACTGAAAGCCCTTCAGTAAGGCTGGGATGTTGATGCAGGATGGTGACACCAGCTGTAACAGTAACTCAGCAGTTTCTAAGTGAAGCTGACCATCTGAAGCCCACTGAGTCCAAGGCTAGGATGTTTGTGTAGGATGACAGTGGCATTTACATGCAAGTTCAGCTGCTTCTAGGATGAGCTGACTGTGACATGGGGTGATTCAAGTCCAATACAAGAAGAAACCTCTTCTGAAGCATGACCCCTGCTAATGGGAATGACTGGACTTTAGCCCACCCCACACAAACCTGCTGCTCCCTTAGTTCTGGGCACAGGAGCACGGCCACGCTCTCTCTCATTCTGGCGCCTTGTCATAGCTCCAATTCAGCTGATACCCCCTTTTCTCTGCCTCAACTAAGCTTTGCCTGTCAAGAGTGAACATACTTGTGATGCTTGTCCACTCTCATTTCTCCTGCCTCTGGGTCAAAAGATCATATCACAGGGCATCCACAAGTGTCTGTTCCTGCCAGAACCTAGAGTAAAAAGATGGCAGGCACCGAGGCAGGCCTCTACCCAGGAGATTATTTCTTTTTAAAGATCTGATTTTTCCTTCTCAGTGATAGGGAGCCTGTGAAAAATGTGAGCATTTTGTGTTCAAGATAATCATGGCAGTGCATCCAGGACAGAATAGACTCATAAACAGATAAATGGAAACAGAAATGTGGCATATATGCACAATGGAGTGTTACCTTATTTTACCCCAAAATAAGACTGGATTTAGTATTTTTTGCCTCAAAAGACCTAAGGCTTATTTTCAGGGGATAGCTTATCATGTACAACAATCTACATTTGTTCATGTACAAAAACTTACATTTATTCAAATATGGTCATATATTTTTCTGGAATATTGTGATGACTCTACAAACCCCCAGTCCTGGCTTGAATTTCTCAAGAATCTGTTTCCTGACTGGCCCCGTCTCTGGTGTCCAGCAGCACAGCTGTCCTTGAACGAGCTCTTCCTCTCCAAGTAGTCTGCTCCGGGTGCACTGGTGACACAGCTGTCAGTGATTTTACCCCCGTGAATTTTTTTTTTAGGTTTTGAATTCTGTTTTTCATTTTTTGATTTTAATACAAAATGCTTGGCTGTGCTCAATAATAAAACTGCATGCATGAAAAACTGGCCAGCCTGAACAGCAAATGGAACTTTATGGAGTCTACTAAGTGCTTATCATTAAGGTAGTTCAATTACTTATACTGTAAAACTGATACGTAGCTTTAGTGAACAAGACCAAATGCAGATTTTGTGTGGACAGAAGGTACTTCTGACATTCAGTTTTGCTATATAGAAACAATGAATAAATGAACTTTTTTCTTTTTTTTTTTTCTTTTTTTGAAAGAGGTAAGTAAAAGACTCAATTTGACTCTTGGTGGGGGATGTAGCTGAAAGTAGGTCTTCATTTCGCAACCATCATCTGTATGAATTCTTCATAGTTGACTTGTCCATCTCCATTAATATCTGCTTCTCTGATCATTTCATCTACTTCTTCGTCTGTTAGTTTTTCTCCTAAGTTTGTCATGACATGACGCAGTTCCGCTGCACTGATGTAACCATTTCCATCCTTGTCAAAGACTCGGAATGCCTCGCGGATTTCTTCCTCGCTATCTGTGTCTTTCATTTTTCTAGCCATCATAGTCAAAAATTCCGGGAAGTCAATGGTGCCATTACCGTCAGCATCCGCTTCGCTGATCATAGCCTGCAGTTCAGCTTCGGTTGGGTTTTGACCCAGTGATCTCATGACAGTTCCTATTTCCTTTGTGGTGATGGTGCCGTCGCCATCTTTATCAAATAAGGAGAAAGCTTCCTTGAATTCAGCAATCTGTTCTTCGGTCAGCTGATCAGCCATGGTGCCAGCGAAGCGAGGAAGCGCAGAGGGAGCGAGTGGAGGGCCCAGCGCAAAGGCTGTGCGGCGGGGCGCCTTCGCTTCAACAGCTGCTGAGGCGCGACGCTCACTCCGCGCGGTGCCGCCAACGCCCTCTGCGCGTAACGGCTACGCGCCTGCGCCCTGGCCCACGCCCTCGTCCACGCCCACGCGGCTCCCGGCACCACGCCCCGCCCCCGGGAAGTCTTCACCCGGGTCACGACCTCTTGCAGGCGGGACTCTGCAGAGTCTCGGTGAGAGTGTTAACAGAAGACTTAGGAAACAGGCGTAGCAACAAGAGTGATGAGGGTCACAAATGATGGGCCACACAAAAGTGAGGAAAATGGCAGGCACAAAAATTCAGAAAACATTTCTTTATTCACAGGAGCGCATCACGTATGTCTGCTTCTGCTACAATACGGTGTATTGAATTACGAAGATTCATATTAGACGCAGCAGTTTCCATCTGGTATCAGACGTGTTCGTCATTCATGTGATGCTTCTGCAAGTCTGAAGTTCATTTGTTTACATAGGATGTTTATCTGTTGTCTAAAGTCACCCATTTGGCTTTTTACAAATATTTAATTAAAGTTTAATTATATAATTATCACTTAAAGTATTACTATAATAATACTATTTATTTATATTTAATTATAAATCATTATCATTCAATATGTCTGTCATGTGTTGCAACAGATGTAGTATATGTGGTCCATTATATGAGAAATTTTTTTTGAGGAAGGGTCTTACTATGTAGGTTACACTGGCCTTGAACTCACCATGTAGCCCGGGCTGACCTCCAACTCATGACAATCCTCCTGACTCAGCCTCTGGAGTGTTCTGAGTGCTGGGATTAGAGGTATGTGCTGGGGCTGGGGATTTAGCTCAGCGGCATAAGCGCCTGCCTTGTAAGCAGGCAGTCGTGAGTTCGATCCCTGGTACCGATAAAAACGAAAAAGACAGAAAAAAAAAAGAGGCATGTGCCACCATACCCAGCTGAGAAATGGTCTATGAGATACTGAAAATATAAAAAAAGAGTAAAATAAAGGAGATACGGTAAGAATGGTGTATACTTTTCAGAGATGGGGAAAAGAATCGGGAAGGGTGAAAAGGGAAAGGTGGGAGGATAAAGGGATGAAAAGTGTTAATGAATATATATATACACAGAAACACACACACATATATATATATGTCTGGGGATCGAATTCACAACCGTGCACTTGCCAGGCAGGCACTTATGCAGCTGAGCTAAATCCGTGGCAGAATGGGTATATTTTGGAAAAAGCTCTTCCAATCTAATTCTTCTTGTTAACAAATCAGATATTAACTTTTTTTTTTTTTTTTTTTTGGTACCAGGGATGGAACTCACCTAGCACTTGCCAGGCAGGCACTTATGCTACTGAGCTAAATCCCAGGTGATATTAACTTTTTTTTATATTAACTTTTAAAATGTTAATTTCTTTTTTCTTTTTTCTTTTTACTGGTACTGGGGATCGAACTCATGACCGCCTGCTTGCAAGGCAGGTGCTTATGCCGCTGAGCTAAAATGTTAAATTTTTAAGCTAAAGAAGTTACACAGAATGAACACTCACAGCAATAACAAGTCACTTTTACTAATCATTCCTGCAGGGCTTAAGTGCTGGTGCAGGGTGAGGAAATGGAATTCGCACATCCTAACTGTACGCTGCACGAGTTTTCTGGATGTTGACACTGAACTGTACATTTACAACCTCGATGTACCCAACCTCACCAACTTCACGTCATCAGTGCATCCTACCAGGTAGGACAAAGAATGCAAAGGCACACACGAAGTTCAAAAAACACTGCTCCAAATTAGTAACATTTGGAGTGACTCAGAAGTTCACCAATAAAAAGTGCTCCAGTGAACTAGGCTCCATCCATGTAGCAGGAGACCACGCAGGCGTTAGAAGGTGTTGGGGAACTGCTGGAGGTTGGTTTATCACATATTATAAGTAAAAACAAGGGCAGTTCAGAACCCACACATTTTAAATGTGCCTCAGAGAGGACAGGAAAGGTAGATAAAATCAGCATTCCCCCTGGAGAACAGGATTATGGATTCCTGAGATTCTCTCATGCTTATCTAGAAATGAAGACTGGGTCAAAACAGCCAAAACAATACAGTGGTTCCTGGGTTCATGAATTTAATTCTTTCTATGATTTTGGTTACAAACCAAATTGGATGTGAACTGAATCAAATTTCCCCATAATGGCCAGGGATTTGATTCAGCAGCATAAGTGCCTCCCTGGCAAGCGCGAGGTGGTGAGTTCAATCACTGGTACCTAATAATAATAATAATAATAATAATAAATTTCCCCATAGGTCAACATTGAACCTATCCACTGAATTTGATTTGGTTTACAATGAAATTGTGGAAAGAAGTCTATGAACTGAGGTCCCACTGTATGTAGGGCTATTTTACATCTGCACCTTGCAAGAGATATCTTCAGATGACTAACAGTTTTTTTTAAATCACTACAGATACCTGAAACAAAAAATTTAAAAGAGGAAAACAGACACAATATCAAGGCTAGGTTAACATTTCGGAGCTTTGGCTTTCTGTTGGTAAGACAGCCAGTCTACAGAGAGCCCTTGAAGGCTCTTAACTTAAAGGCTGGAAACTCAACTGTGATCTAGGGCCTCTATCCCCCCAGGGGACTCAATACGGGACTTTTCCCCTTCCTGGTCCAAGTCCAGTGTCACAGCACATGAGAAGCTCAATGTTTTGCAGCCCTGGCTGTGTACCTGGGGGTGTTCAATAGGACACAAGGCTCAGCCCACAATCAGCGACTCCACAGCAGGGCTGGGTCCAGCATTTGAAATCTGAAGTCTCTTAAGTGATTTGAAAATAAAGTGACAGAGAACCCAGGCCAGCGGCCTGTTATTATTAAGCTTTAGCCCCACAAGAGATCTGCTCCTCCTCTCCTGCCAAGGGACCCTCTGAACACATACACAGATGAGACGGCGCTCTTGTTTCTGAGAATATTCACCTCACCTCTGTGTACCTGCAGACAGTCCCCAGCAGACTGTTCCTGTGTGGCGGCGTCACAGAGACACGGCAGCAGTGGCATCCTTGGGACTGCAGGCGGGTTTCCCAGAGCTCCTGAATGTGGCTCCTGTGTCCCCACCCAAAGTTGCAATCAATTAGGTAGAGACTTTGCTCTGAGGCTCACATCTGTCTCCTGTCTGGGATCTCGTGAGATTCGATTTCAGGTTGGGCACCTGTAATGAGATTCGCCAGCATCAGCCTAATAAATTCCAAAGACGGTCACTCAGTGACCTACAGAGTCCGCAAAGAGAAGAATCATTCGTTCATAAAGACAGAGCAAAGAAAGTGTGAGAACCTTTAAAATACTAAAAAAGCACTTTTAGAACTTTTGCTTTCCACACTGCACAAAACTGAGCTGTAAGGGCAGATTATCTACTATAAGATCAGCCTCAGTTCCACCCCTTCCGATTCCCAGTATAGAAGACAGAGGTCCCTGCCTAGTTTGAATATTTTTCACAAGAGTGGCTTCTGTCCCTGTCAGAGGGGAAAAATTGGCATTTCAACAACCATAACACAGTGAAATGATCTGATTTGCTAAGAACCACAAAAAATGGTCTTTTTCTGTCCCCAAAGGTTGTGCTGAAAAATGCTCCCAAAAAACCAGTGATGGAAGTCGTGAGTTCGATCCCTGGTACCGATAAAAACAAAAAAGACAAAACAAAACAAAACAAAAAAAAAAACAGTGATGGAAATAAGCTATTTCTGACAAGCATTTTTTTTTTTTAAAGAGAGAAGGCTGCAATTCTAGCATAATGGCCTTGTTAGATAAGGAAGCCACTTACCGCCCAATACATGAAACTAGCCACACAGTTCACATCCAATACACCAAGAGGAGGACCCTGCGGGAGGAATTTAAAAGTATTTTAGAACTAGGTTCTCACTACATCAGCATCAACTCTGAAAAAGACCAACTGTCAGAAGAGCCAGACAGAAGTTAGTGAAATTAATTACTCTTAAGTTTCACACCCAATCACCTCAAAGCCAAGTGCTTCCCGATGATAATAAAAACAGCACGTAACAAGTTAGGCAAAGCTATAGACAAATTGAAAAGGATCCCACAGATGACTTAGCCAAGGTTTGCCCAAGTGTGCTAAGGGTATGCTACTGTCTGCTCAAAAACGGGCTGAATTAAGCTGGGAAGATACTGGCCACACAGTTAAATTTCTTTGCTACAAATCCCTAAGAGATTTTGTATGGAAACTGTGAATCCCACCAAAACCTTCAGCACAGGGAAAACGTCGAGTGCTCTATACTGCATGCAACGTTTTCCAAATATACTTATTTTGGAAATACTTTATGGCATCTGTTTTTTTCTTTTCCAGATCTCAGCTTCAATCGGGATGGTCTGACATCACAGACCAGGAGAGAGCCCTCATTTACACCTTTCTTATTCAGATAGCATTTTTTATTATTGAACTATGTCTGGAATTCATCTTTAAACCCTACAATCCTAGAAAGCAGGGACCCAGCCTGTTGTTTTACATCTATTTTTAAGGTCCTGAGCCTGGCAGGTAGTAGATGCTCAATAAATAATTTGCTAAGTGAGTACACGAAAGGGTTCTGGTGCTCTTTTTTCTACTTTAAAAGGACTTCTTTTGTTTTGAGCCAGTTCTAGATTTGCAGGAAATTTGCAAAGCTAATCTACACAATTCACCCTGTGTTCATCCTGCTCAAGCCAGGTTAACGTTTTCCTAACCTTACCACAGTGCCCCAAATTAGAAAATGAACATGGGCGCTCTGCTAATTCGAGTTATTCACATTTCACGTTTCTCCGCTCGTTCTTTCCGCAGTCGGGGACCCTGCAGTAAGGTAGCTCCTCATCCTCAGAGTCCTCCGGTCTGTACGTTTTTCGGGCTTCCTGTTTTGGAAGGAGGTTGTCAGGAGGTTGACACTTTTAAAACGGAGATTGAAAGCATCAGACGCACAGCGCCGCGGGGAGACGCTGGGGACCAAGGGTGGCTCCGCGGGCCCGGGCCGCCGTCCCCCTACCGTCTGGACGGTGGAGCTCGGTGGAAATCTGTCCCCGCCACAGTCACGGGAGACACTGCGGGCACTGAACAGCGGGGCCCTGAGCGGCTTCCCACCGGCTCGGCTCCTCCGTGCGCGCCCCGTGGCCCGGGTCCCACCAGGGCCCAGAGCTCAGCAGCGGACCTATGGAAAGATGTGGGGGCGCGCACGGGGGCGGCCACCCGGACGGGGAGCCCCGGCCCGGACGCGGCTCACTCAAGGCCTCTGTGCCGCCTCCTGCAAAGGCACCCGCTGCAGCCGGAGAGCACATGCCCAAAGGGCCAGGCCGCTGGGGCCGCGCCCCCAAACCAGCTTCGCGCAGCCCCCACCCGGAGGGCAGAGCCCAGGGCGCACGCGGGGTGCAGCATGTCCCCACGGTGATGCCTCGCTGACCCCTTCCAGGACTAGACCTCCGCGGTCCCCTACCTGTTTTATATCGGTGAAACTCAAAATGTAATAACAAGACAGGCTTATAATTCTAGCATTCTGGGAGGCTGAGGCAGGGGGATCGCAATTTCGAGCCCACTCTGGACAGGTTAGTGAGAGCCTGTCTAAAAAAAAAAAAAAAGAACTGAGGCTGTAGCTCAGTGCAAATCCCTACTACTGTCAATCAATCAACTAATCAATGAGAGCTTTATTACAGACCTACAGTTGAGGAGAACAGAATTCTTTTCATGGCAATAGCATTTCGCTTAATGGGGCTCAAAATTAGTATTCTTTATCACCAAAATCAATCGCAAAGAATGGCTTATCTAATTCAGGCTTGTTGTAATGACGTTTTATATATTACCTCTTTGGAAAGTTTCTCCAAATACTGATACCGTGCATCAGCATATGGGTGAATTTAGGCATATTCACTACTTGAATGGTGTTTGTAGAATTCTGTTATTTCCATCTCTATGGTTAACAACTTCTAGCATGCCATTAGATGGTAGCTAATCAAAGTCCTTGAGTTGCATGAGTAAATGGATTTTGCCCTTCTCAGTGGTTTACAGAACCAAAGATGCTACCATAACTGTAATTTGAGCTTGGAAAATAACAGCCTGTGCAAAATTTGCATGGAGACAGGGGTCGCATGTCTTTTTTTTTTTTTTTTTTTTTTTTTTTTTGTCTTTTTCCTTCCTTTTTTATCGGTATCAGGGATCGAACTCATGACTGCCTGCTTACAAGGCAGGTGCTTATGCCGCTGAGCTAAATCCCCAGCCCCTCCCATGTCTTTTTTATATTTTGACAGAAAAATATATAAACCAGTTTGACATTCCTTGAGTCTCAATCAATAGTAGTTACATTTGTCCTAGTCACTTTATGTTCATTGGGACAAATGCCCAACACCACAGCTTCAAGGCAGAGGGCTGGGGATTTAGTTCAGTGACATAAGCACCTGCCTGGCACCTTCGAGGTCTTAAGTCTGATCCCTGGTACCCCCCACCCACCCACCAAATCACAACTTCAAGGAGGAGAGGTTTATTTGGGCTTACGGTTTCGGTGGTTTCAGTCCATGATCAAGATCTCCAGAGCAAGAAGACATGGTGGAAAGGCCTACGTGGAGGACAGCTGTTCACCACATGTTGCCAGGAAGCAAGAGAGAAGGGAGGAGCCAGGATGAGAACACAGTACCCCTTTCCAGGTCACAACCCTGGCGATCTGCCCTTTTCAACCTGGCCCACCTCCAAATTTGAGACAGCACATTGAAGTAGCTTCAGTGTGGTATGTGTGAGGAGTGTTTTGCTCTGTGACTTGCAGCTGAGTTTATCAGGAAACATTACCAAGTCCGCAGGAGAAGGCAGCTTCCAAACCCACTCCGCATTTCCTACCTGGTTGAAAGTGGCTCTAAACCTGTTTTGGAAAAAAATGTAAGATCTTCCCTGAACTAAAAATATCATTTAAAAATGTTTTAAAATTTACTCTTTGGCTGATACATTAAAACAAAACAGTATCTTTTAGCTGGACACAGTGTTGTATTGTGTTACATTGTATAATACAATATATAACATTGTATAGTATTTAAATCAGGTCAAAGCCTCTCTTCAACCACTTGTTATTCTTGATGTTCTTAGCAGTGAAGACTTGCAAAACCCTCTCTCCCAACTTTTTGCAGTGTGTAGTACGTTATTGCCATCTACAGTGACTTCACTGTGCCCCTGCTGAACTGTGTGACTTAGTCAGGCAGCCTCTGAAGTGCGACAGTGAGGTGAACCGACTTAACAGGCTGAAAGGGCTGTTGGGAGGCGAGGCCTAACTGGAAGAAGCAGGTCCTGGAGGGGTAACCTTGGGGCCTGTGTCCGGTCCCTGGCCTCTTCCTGTTGGGCTTTTCCCTCTCCTCTGCTTCACAGATTCTGTGGGTTGAGCATCTTTCCTCCGCTGTGCTCTTCCACTATGAGGTTTCTGCCGTGGAGCCCACCATGCACTGAAACTCTGAAACAGAACCAAAAAAACCTTTCCTCCTTTAAATTGTGGGTGTCACACACTTTTGTCCCCACACAGAAAGTTGGTTAGTGTACAGTCTCCCACATCCCACCCCCAGCTCCATTCTCCCTGGCCCCTGCAGCCACCGTTCTGTTTTTAGCTTCTATGACTCAACTCTTACAGTGCCCACGTGTGAGTTGGGTCATGCGAATGAAGCTGTTCTGCACGATGATAGAATTTTCGGCGCAGTTAGAAAACAGAATATAAAGTAAAATGGTCTTTATTTTAAGAATGTGGAGAGAGACTCCGTGACCTCCGGGGTCTGGCTTTCTCTCTGCCCGACACATGGTGTGGGGGCATATATATAGCTTAGGTTTGGGGTGGTGCCTAAGGGGCATTACTGATGCACAGGTAGCCCATTGGAATTCATTTGGAGCCACAGGTAAGTTGCCTAGGGGCAGGAAAGGTGACCTCAAGATAGAGCCCCTTGGTTCCACCTCCCAGCCTCCCACTGCTGCAGCTTCCCATTGCCGGCAAAGTCCTTTCACAGGGGCACTGTGAAAGCAGTTCTTCAGTCACTTTAAGGTTGGCCCTAGCTCCCAGGTAAACCCCTGGACAGGATCAACTGCTCAACTTGCTTTGTTTACAGCCTTGTTTTTACTTTTTATCTCCATGCTAGTGTAGGGAACCTTCTAAACCCTTTCCTTACTCACTGAGAAGTATTTCTGGACACCTACTCAGAACTTGCTTCTTTACTTCTGTCACTTACTTTCTGAGAGCAGTTTTCCAGTATAACCTTTGTGAACAGAAAAAAGTTTTTCTTTTTTTTTAATGGTTATATCATATCAGAATATTTCACTCTGTTGTAGTTGAAATGCTGCCTTCCCCTCTTTCTAAGGAAAAGGGCCCCAACCTTTGTGAAAGACTTTCAGCTCAGCAAGGGCTACTTTCTCTTCTGGGAAGAGGGAGGGAAGGGCCAAAAAGAATTTCTGGTACTTGATTCATCTGCTGATCTCTGCCTTTCATCATGTGGGAATCAGAAATTCTAAAAGTACTCTGATTGTTTTAAACCTTGTCACACTTAAACATTGCCCCCCCCCCCCCGCCCTGCTTTTTTGTCTTTTTGAAACAGGGTTCTCTATGTAGTTCAGGCTGGCCTTGAGCTCACTTTGTAGCCCAGGGTGGTCTCAAACTCGAAAATGATCCTGCTGCCTCAGTCTCCCCAGTGCTGGGATTACAGGCACGAGCCATCATGCCTGGCTTAATCTGCCCTGTTTTTATGAATGGTTAGTCCTTCTCTTTACAGACTCTGTAGGTCCATGGGTGACCAAGGCTTCTGCTTCCCTCCTCCCTTTCCCCTTCCCCTCATCCTCTTCCTCCCGCATTCTATCAGTTAACTACACATTTCTAAACCTTGATCAGCATAATAGTCTCTCTTCTTTGAATTGTCCCCTTACATATAGGACTTCCTGTCCTAAGAGTAGGATAATGGTGTTGCTAGCAGTAGGCTCTGGGCTCCCCACTGCTGAGGTCCGACCTCCGATATTTTGCCCACTTATTGTAGCAAATCTTTGACTTTGGACTGTGGGCCACCTCCTGAGTTGGTTTTTTCCTTATTTAGCCGCTGAAGCCAGGCTGGCCTATCCCAGTCCTATCTGATTCATGCTGTGGTTCTTTACTTTGACCCCTGTTTTCCTCATTTACACTTGGTTTTCTGTCAGGTAAGCTTCATATTTTTTTGAGACATGTCTTGGCCTGTCTTGGTCTTGCTATGTACTTCAGGCCTTGAACTCACTATGTAGCCCAGGCTGGCCTCAAACACACAATGAGCCTCCTGCCTCAGCCTCCAGAGTGCTGAGATTACAGGAGTATGTCACCACACCCAGTGACCTCAGACTTCTTACTTTTTCTTTCTTTTCTTTTCTTTTTTTATTTTTCTTTTTTTGAGACAGGCTCTCACTATGCAGTTCAGGCTGGCCTTGAGCTCATATTGTAGCCTAGGCTGGTCTGGAACTTGCAAGGATCCTCCTGCCTCAGCCTCCAAAATGCTGGAATTACAGGTGTGTGCCACTGCACCTGGCTAACCTAGGATTTTTAAAGTGGATTTTGACTCTGCTGTCCTTCCTGCTTCCAGCGCTGTAGGTTATCACAGGTGAGAAGCCTCAGGCCCTCTTTAGCCTCACTGATCCATTAAAACAGAGCTTCAGCCTGAGCAGGTCTCCATTGGCAGGACCAGAGTCCAGTCACTGTGATATCTCAGGCAGAATCCCCCGGCTATGTCCCCGATCACAGTGGGCCACTGGAACGTCCCAGAAGAGTCCTCTTCAAGTCCAGACATCCTTTATTCCACCTGAGCTGGTCTGTAAGGCTCCAGTTATATTGCTAGTTGACTCACTCAGTTATTCATTTCCTTGATTTCTGTTTGGTTCTTTTTCAAAAATCTCAGCTGAATTTTTCATTCACCTTCATTTAAGTGTACGTCCTGGATCCCACGGAGGTTTCATAGAATCGCTTTTCAGATTCCTTCCCAAATGTTTCGCATTTCCATTCCTTGGGTGTGTGGCTAGCGTGTCACTAGGGTCTATGGGGGTTTCATATTGTCTTGATTTTTCCTATGCCTTGTGCTTGTGTTGAGATTTTCACTTCCAGAGGGTTAGATATCCCCACCACTCTTACAGGCTGGTTTTCTTAGGAAGTGCTTTCTTCTGAGGATGCGTCTTAGATGTTGGTTCCTTACGCAGCGCCCAATTTCCAGCTGGGCCTTATGCTGCAGTCTCCCTTGAGCTTCCTTGGCTGCAGTTAATGACCTTGAATGTAGCCTGTTCTGCGGTAGAAGGAAGAGACCCCCAGTGTCTGAGCCATGAAGAGTGGGGATACTGTGGACAGCGGACAGTGCTTGTTGTCTGGAGCTTACTCTGTAGCCACAGTAGGGGTGATGGACCCTGCCAGGGGTGGGGGTTTCTTCAGGCACCATTGTCACCAGCTCTCCTCCTCCACCTTGTCCCTGCCGCAGGCCCAGGGACAGGTGTGTGTGTGTGTGTGTGTGGGGAATTGCATGGCCCTTCTGTGGGGCTCAGCCAGGTTTTGCAGTAAGACATTGTCAGACAAGGATGGAGGAGGGCTGCGGCAGGAGATGCTCTGGGTGGCAGTGCCTGCCCTGAGTGGGACCTGGGCTGGCAGACTGCCTCTAGGCCATCTTTGGCTGCTGCAGGGTTATGGCTGCAGCCTGGCTTTCCTCCACTAGCTCCTTCAGCTGGAACCGTGCACTCACCCTGGCAACAGCTGGAGATGGAGTTGCTCCAGTCCACCTCATCAGGGCCTTGTGAGTGGGCATCTGTGGGCACCCTGGCTTTCCCAGCTTTGCAGTAACTGCTGCAGGAGTGTGGGGTTGGGCAGGGCAGCAGGAGCTCAGTGGGCACTGCCTTTAGAGCGGGCACTGGTGGGAGTCCACGGGGAGCTGGCCACATGCTTGGCCTTGGGGGGAAACCAGAGCAGCGCATTGCACCCCTTCTTTTACAGCCTGGGACCTTCCGGGGCTCTGTTCTGTCACTGTGCGGGGCAAAGTCAGGCCTCTGTGTGTTCCCAGAGGCGGGAGTCTGGAGGGGTCCTCACCCCCGGGGAGGAGACCGTAGTGCTCTTCCCCTGTGGCTTCTGGCTGCAGCACCCTGGGGATTTGTGAGGAGCCCACTTAGGCAACTTCTCAGATGTCAGATGTCAGATGTCAGGATGTCAGGTTGCTTGTCTCAGTGGGCTCCTGGCCTGGGCGGCCTGTGACGTTTTCAGTAGTGAGATGGTCAGCACCGTGGGAGGGAGTTTGCTGCCAGCCACTCTTGCACCTTTACCCTGGCAGAGGGAGTCGCCGCCCGGTGTGGGGTGGCACGGGACAGATGTCTTTTGTTCTGTGCTGTTGGCCGCAACTTTGAATCTTTCAAGTAGCTAATCTCTCTCGTGGTAATCTCCAGAGTTCTCAGGGTCATTCACCTTCGAAATGCAGCTATATGTTTGTGCCTTTTCCTTTCTTCCTCTCTCTTGTCCTTTTTAAAAAATTTTGTCTGTCTTTCCTCTCCCTCCTTTCTTTCTTTTTTTTATAACACTGGGGATTTAACCCAGGACCTTCGCACTGAGCTGCCTCCCAGCCCTTTTTTATTTATTTTGAGACAAGGCCTTGGTAAGACACTAAGTTTGAGCCCAAGTGGCTCAAACTTGCCATCTTCCTGCCTCAGCCTCCCAGAGCTGGAGGATTGCAGGCCTGCACCACCACACCTGTTTAGTTCTCTGTGGTGGAGGAGATGAGTGCTGGGTGCCTCGGTCCCACTGTCTTGCATCCAGTTCTTTTTCTTGGAGTTGAAAACCATATTTCATTTTCAAGAAACAGCATCGAGTGTGGTGGTACATGCCTTTACTCAGAGCTTGGGAGGCTGAGGCAGGAGGACTATTGTGCATTAGAGGCCAGCCTGGGCTCCACAGTGAATTCAAGGCCAGCCTGAACTGCATAGTGAAACCCTGTCTCAAAAAGCCAAAAAAAAAAAAAAAAAAAAAGGGGGGGGGGGCTGGGGAGTTAGCTCAGTGGCATAAGTGCCTGCCTGGCAAGTGTGAGGTTGTGAGTTCGATCCCCGGTACAAAGAAAAGGGAGGGGGGCTGAGATATAGCTCAGTGACACAGTGCCTGCCTGGCAACCATGCGGTTCTGAGTTTGACTCCTGGTACCAAAAAAGAAAAAAGAAAAAAAGAAAAGAAACTGTATTAGGAAAACGCAAGCCTGAGTAACCAGTGTTGTCGATTGTTCTTTCAATGCAAAATGATCCAAGAAAAAGATGGTTCAAGATACCGCAGTACCTGCTCTCCCCAGGTTAACTCTGTTCCACTTGTGTGCAACATATGCACACTTTTCTTACATTTTTTGCAAGTGCATATGATGAATAATGCAAAGACCGATATACTTCATGCCCTGCATTGATGACGGCTGCCTTTGAACTCTCAGTGTAAATCTTACCACAGTGGAAAAGGCAAATCACACTCCCACATTAGGAGGATGAGTTGACATCGGGGGCTTCCTGCAAGAGCCTTAGGGACACCAGCGGCCCAGGGGCTATGCTCCGAGAAGTGGGCTCTAGACTTGCATAAGTAAAAATGCCTCTTTTTTTTTAAATACATTACTGATTAGGCTTTTGAATGCAAGCTATTTCACATCTCTAGTTTTCAGTCTTTAGCAGGCTTGCCAAAACACATCAGCCACGGGGAGCACAGAAGTCCTTGCATTTGTAGTTCTTACCAATTATGGGAGCAGATAAACTGAGGACAGGCAGAGGCAGCCTCTCTGCCAGGGCTTAGGTGCAGCGGGGGACTGGAAATCACTGCAATGCCCAGCATTAAATTCCTGCTAGATAAATACAGAAATTCCATGTATCCTAGAGGACATCCTTTATGTCAAGGGATGCTAGTTACTTCAAGGAAAATGAGATAAATTTATGTACTAAAATGAGGTCGTCTTCAGGATGGGTTATGTAGCAGGAACACAAAAGAGCCATTTGCTCTTCTTTTTGCTTTGTTTATATATAATGTTTCCTCTAAAACTGTGCCTTAGCTTCTTAGTATCTTTGTGCTGTGCTCAAAAGTAGGGTAGCGTGACCTTCTCGGACAGTTCCGGGGAGAAGTGGGAACAGGGTGCTCCTCCGCCGCTCCTCCCTTGTTCCCAACAGTTGCAAACTCTGTGACCAGTGATTCAGTCCCGGTTTGAGGGAAAGACCGATATACTTCAAAGGGAAAAGGCGCGCTCCAGAGCCTTCAGGGCTGCGTGTGCTGTAGCTGGAACTCCGGGTGAGTAAGTCACCGCGTGTTTCCCAGACTGCTGTTTCTCACTGCGTGTATAGCCAAGGAGGTGTGCATAGGTCAGGCCTGCCTCCAGTGCAAATGAGGTCAGGAGGGGAATGACCCAGCCAGAATTACAGGCCAGAATTACAATTTTAGTTTACCTCCTAAGGGACTTGTTTGGATTTTATGAGTTCTGCCTTCTCAAGTCTCCTTCAGAGGTTGTACTGTAATATTTCATCTTGCCAGGAGAGTTAGCCTGGAAAATTAAGTATATATGAGTGTTATCATCTGTGTTTTATTCCATTTAAATTAAAATTTTCTATTTTCCTTTCTCATGGACCAGAGAGCCCTTTAAAAAGAATAATCTTTGCCTTTTGATTTCAAAAAAGAGCTTACCTTTCTCAGAGAGTTTTTGCGTGGTTGAGGGTATCACTGTATATGTCGGGTGTTATACACCATTTTTTATTAGAAGCCTATTACAGGCAGGAACCACTTAAAACAGAGCAGTGGTGTTAATGCATAGCTAAAGCTTTTGATAAAGCCTGTGTTAGGCCCCTATGTTGATATAAGGTATATATTAGGAACCTAACTTCCCTAAGTAAATTTTAAAAATGTTTTTGGCTGTGTGTTTCAGCTCTTTCAGTTTGGCATGGCAGAAAAACTAATGGTTCCATCTACACAGGCACCTAACAATGAAGATACAGTTAAGTATATGTTTCATGTAGAACTCTGCATTTTTTTGTTTTGTGTTTTGTTTTGGGACTGGGGATTGAACTCACAACCTCGCACTTGCCAGGCAGGCGTTTTTGCCACTGAGCTAAAACCCCGGTGTGAGAACTCTGCATTTTATATATAGAAGCAGTAAACTGATACTGTTCTAAATAATATGGGTATGTGTTTGGTAATCAGTTAACTTTTTTTTTTCTGCTACTGGAAATTGAACTCAGAACCTTGTGCTTGCCAGGCAGGTGCTGTGCCACTGAGCTATATCCCTAGCCCTCAATTAACTTTTAGACTAAGCTATCAATGACAGTTTAAATAATCATTCCATGTTTCTTGAGTCTGTTGAAGCCATTCCTATCTTAAAATTTTCCAAAAAGCAAATTAAAAATTCCAGAACCTCTAGCAGAGATGTGGCCATTATTGTGTTACTGTGACAAAATACCTGAGATGAGCAACTTAAAGGAGGGAAGGTTATTGGCTCGTGGCTTCAGAGGTTTCGTTCCCTGGTCACTTGGCTCTGTCAGGGGGGTGCTGGTCCACTGGCAAGGCGAGACCTCAAGTCCAGGCCAAGACCCTGCCCCTGCACACTGCCGCTTTGGGGACCAAGCCTTCAACACATGATATTTTGGGGAACATTTAAGGTCCAACCATAAAAGTAGCTGAGAACAGCGCTATTTTGAAGAATATATGTGTAGAATTTATACTGCAGTTAGATGGTGTCTCACTGTAGTGTTTATTTTGTATTTCCTGATGGCTAATGATACTGGGCATTCTTTCATATACGTATTTGCTGACCATTGTTTTTCTTATTTTGAGAAAAACCTTCATGCCATTTTAATTTAATTACCTACCTTATTGCTGGTAGGTTTTTAATTGTGTATATATTACAGATATTAATCTTTAGTCAGATGGACAGTTAAGTACGTCCTCCCATTTTAGAGGTTGTGCCTTGTTGTTTGCTTTGTTTGCTGCACGGAAGATATTAAATGTGATGTAATAACATTTGTCAGTTTTGTTATTATCTCTTTATGGTCCTACCCAGAAAACCCTGCCTGTGTCAGTATTTTCCCTATATTTTCTCTTGTGTATTTTTATTTGCATATGTTAAATGTACATCTTAATGGGCTTCACAGTGGTATTTTCATGTGCACAGATGGCTCACGTGATTGTGTTCACCCATCCTTCTGGTCGTGCTAACCTCACTGGACAGATTAAAGCACTGAAGCATCCATTTCTGAGTGGGTGCAGTAGGAGACTGGGTCCACATGGATGACGCCTGTCACAGCAGACAGGGGTTGGGAAGTTATGCATCGCCCCTGACCCCTTCTTTCATTCTGCCTTTTCCTCTGCTCTCTGCTTCCTGTCCGCCTCCACCAGCTTCCCCCTGCCAGGCCCTTCCTTCTGCCTTGGTCCCAGCCAGCCATGGACAGAAAAGAGAGGTCCATGAGCAGGTCCCGAGAGCTCCAGGGAGGAGTGTACTGAAGATCTGGATCTGGTTACAGTTTTGACTTGCAAGTGATCGATTTTTGCAGATGTATTTAAATGCGTTAGATGGATGGAAAGGATGCAGTGATGATTTTTTTGGTAGTGTGCATGCAGGGAAACCCTGGTAAGTCTCCCCAAAATTTTGATTGGAAGTTGGAATGCTGAGTGATTTTAAGAACCTGAAGAGCAACATTTCTAAGCAGTTCTTACAAAACTTGTTAGTCACATCAGCTTCACACTTTAAATTCACAACTCATGGAGAGGGAAAAAAGGTCTTGCTTAATTTTAAACACAGATTTTAAATGAGGTTTTCATGAACCAAGGGTCCCCGAACAGGGAAAGCTTTCCCTTTGTAGAATGCTCTAAATGTAAATTTAAATGTAACACACATCTGCACAGATCAAATTCAAGTTAATGACTATAAAACCAAACCTAAAAAGAAGGCAGTGCCAAGGAGAATCAGAATTTACAGACTAAAACAAAAAACAGGACAGTCACTACTTAATTTTTGAAATTCTCCTTTAAATTTACAATTCCTTTTTCGGGGGGGGGGGAGGTACCAGAGATCAAACTCACGATCTCATGCTTGCCAAAATTTACAATTCTTTAAAGTAATAGCACTTACATAGTGAAAGGCTTGTTGACCCAGACCGGACACTGTAGCCAGAAAAAGGCTCAGCCGGAATTAGGGAGCTCCTGTCTCCCCCGCCCCTAGAGATTTACCTGTAACCCTATACCCCCCACCCTTCGGAACCTGCCCCTGGCGCCAAACGTGTGCCAATGAAATACCTGTGCATCTCTAATGGCCTTAGGGCACTGCCCTAAGCTTAGGCTACTTATATTCCCCCACACCACGTGTCCGCTAGAGAGATCGCCAGATTCCAGCGGCCAGCATGCCAGTCCTCTTTCCCCGTGTTCCCAGAATAAAGGCCTCTTTTGTTTTATACTCCTCATTTTTTGGAAATATTTTTCATCTTCTGGAAATAATCCTATCACATAGTAGTCAACAGAGTTAGAACACTCCCTTTTCTTAGAAAAAATGATAAAAATACAATTTTAATAGATTCACTCTCAAATTGTTCCTTGTAGTAAAATATATCATTTGCTATTAATAAGAAGTCTGTCTTGAGAATGTAAATCCTAAGTATTCTATAAAGCACTTTTAAATTTTTGTATCGACAAATTCATAGTCTGAAAAAAAAAAAAACCCTTAAATGCCTGTGCTATATGCCTGTGTGGTGGTATATACCTGTGATCCCAGAATTTAGGAGGCTGAGGCAGAGGACTGCTGTGAGTTCAAGGCTAGCCTGAACCATATAGTGAAACCCGGCTTCAAAAAAACAAACAAAAAACCAAAAAAGACAAAAGTACAAACAAAAAAAAAAAGAAAGAAAGAAAGAAAAAAGACCTTATGTAACTATTTTTTCTCTGGTCACTATTTCATAATTTTCAAGAAGTTTAAGAGTCTTGATAGGCTGGGGATTTAGCTAATGGCATAAGTGCCTGCCTGGCAAGTACATGGTCATGAGTTTGATTCCCAGGACCAAAAAAAAAAAAAAAGTCTTGATAGAGAATTTTAAAAAGAAGTATTTATTACTATTAGTAGTCAAGGAAACAAAAAATTTAGATTGAAGAAAGACCTAACATTTTGATCATCCTACTGGTAAAAACTTGAAGCTTTAAGATACAAGATGACAGCAGAGTCTCAACACTTTTTACTGAGGTTCGAGCTGACAGCTGTGTGCGAACGGGGTTAATAAAGACCTGTTGGTAAAGTGACCAAGGCAGACTTTGCTAGCAAGGGTTCGGGTTCAGTGTTTTCTCATCAGCTGGAAGATTTGAGACTATTTTGCATTTCATTTCACAAAATCAGAAGTATTTATTTTGAAGCAAGGTAAAATATGGTTTACCTGTCAGAAAGCTACTCAGAAATGTTTTTAATCTACAAAGCACATAAAGCATAAGGGCATTTAAGTTCCCACTGGCCACAGAATGGCTAATGGCCCTGCCTTCTTGGGTTAGAAGAACTCAAGCTGCAGTACACAGTTTTGCAGGCGTTGGAACAAGCCTAAGCCTTTAAACCAGTAAAACACTTCCTAAAATCTTTTATTATGAAAGTAATGCATACATATAAAAATTTCAAACAGAACAAGATCTTAAAAAAAAAAAGTGAATGAACTTCTCCGTTCCCTCCACAGAAAACACACTTAATGGTTCGGTGCGTACATCTGTCCAAATTTTCTGTTCTATACAGATCCAAACACACGCACCTTGATGGTCTCTGGTTATACACGGTGCTTCCTACTTGCATTTTATCTCAGTTTGTCTCTGATGCCTTTCTGTGTCGGTACGTGTTGGCTGGATGGGACTCTGCCGTCGGATACCCTTTCATTCACACAAGTATGTGTTTATAATTTTAAAAGCAAATGGACAGAACCCTAAAGCACAAAGACAAACATTTAAAGGTAATCTGTATCTTTCTAACAGTGTGGAATGGTTTGTTCCTTTTTCACACAAAACAAATTATGTGACCAGGAATTTAACTACAATCTTCAGGTTCACACAGAACGTTCCATTCGTTAAGCCTGTTTAAGCTACCATGGTTTTTGCTTTTGTTCTTGCTTTTATCGGTACCTGGGATCAAACTCACCACCACACACTTCCAAGGCAGGCACTTATGCTGCTGAGCTAAATCCCCAGCCCCATTAAGCCTGTTTAAAAAGATAGCAATGATAGTTAATTAGTTTGCTTACACTTAACTAAGTCTACTACAAAGCATATTATGAAGAGTTACAGTATGATGCTTCTTAGCTTCTGCTCTTAGTTGAAATTGAATAATACAGCTAATAACCCAAAAAATCCAGAAATTCAAATTTTAGCTTAGTAACTGAAACATTGCTATTTGTGTGTGTGTGTGTGTGTTTCCTATTGCTAGTGAGATTAAGTGCTGGTTACTTCAGATTCCTTCACATCACACATTAAACCAAGGTATCAAAAGGAACATAGCATGTGTACTCTGGAGTTAGATTAAGACATTATCGACAAGTGGCCAGATGTCCACAAGGAATACAAATCACGCCAGTATTTCTGTCCGTGCGGATTGGGCCACTTCTCCCTTGCAGGCGCCTTGGCCGCTTTTCGGGGCTGAGCCCCTCTGCAGAAAGGTCTGACCTGCCCATCTTTGTCCTGTCTTTCCAAGTGCCCACTAGGTCACCAGCCAGGGCCTTGCATATGGCTGCTCCCAGCTGTCTGAAGGTTTTTTCCTCTATTATTTTCTTAAAATTGTTTTTAAAAATTTTTGTTAAAATTCTTGAAACTGACTGCCATTCATACAGCTTCGTGTTCCACGGGATTCCCCAGGTTGTCTCAGCTGTTTTAGTTAGCGATGGTGTTTCTCAGGGGTTCCTATCAGACTCCCCAGGGGAGGCGTGAAATGAGCATCCTTCATATATTCTTGTCATTTGCCTTGGATGCCACATAGCGTGTTTTTCCTGG